GCTCCTCGTCTGTCTCGTGTTCTGGCTGATATTTTCTATAATGGGTGTACAATTTTTTGGCGGAAAATTTTTTAAATGCGTTGACGAATACGGTGAATTGTTAGATATATCGGTGAGTATAATTTTCTATCGAAGGAACGGTCACAATTTGTTTAAAATAAGCGTGAACACTATTTTCATGATAATCACGGAAAAATGAGCTTCAGTTTATTTTGCTTCTTTACCCTTATTCAGTTTATAAAAGTGCAATCTTCGCCTGAAAAAGATTAAAACACTAACCGACGTATTTTAATTAGCCAAAGTCGCCTATATATTTCATTTAAGTTGCTTGAATTCAATTTTTGAGAAGAGCGTTCGTCACACATTGAAATTATCATATTTCTTGAAATAGTGGTTATTTCATATTGTTCGAAATGTTGAAAGATTGCTATAAGTATAGTTCTAATTGTTTATGCTTCAAATAGTGTTAAAAGTAAAGTATTTATCGAGAATAAATAGAGAAGTGTTTTCTGAAAAAAAATATAAGGGAGTTTGTATAATTCTTAATGCGCATGCGCCATATGCATTAGGCGTATGCGCGGTATGCACTAGGCGCAAGCGCGATATATACATGGCGCATGCGCGATATCTACTAGGCGCATGCGCGGTATCTACTAGGCGCATGCGCGATATCTATTATGCGCAGACGCGATATATACATCTGCATTATGCATCTCTATTCTGTAAAACATTTCTTACCTTTTCTTCAATAAATTTTACCTTTAATATTTGAAAACTAAGTTAGTAGAACTATACCTACAGCAACTTTTTGCATTTTGAACAATTTAAAAGAACAATTACTTTAATGAATATGGTGATCTTAATGCTTCAGAGACAAAACTTGTTATTCTACTGTTCTTCACAAAAATGAAATTTGAGCAATTTAAATCAAATACGTTGACGAATGTAGCTAATCAAACTGTTATGTTTATATGTAAACATTGCATTTTTATAACCTAGTATGAGGGAGTCGTTGAAGTTTTATGCAATGACGGCCATTTACTTAAGTCTGCTTCATAATTTACAAGATAAACACGATTGATGCTTTATGAAACTATTTTGATTTGTATTAAATGAGTAATGCATGGTGAATATTGTGCATCATAGTACTAATACAATTTTATTTTAGAATAATAATTTATAAATATTTTTAGCACTTTACTGCACCATATCATTGAAATGATGAACAGTTATTTAAAATTACATGTGCACACTTTTTATTTACTGAACCTCACTAATATCTAATGTAAGTTTTATCTTGATCTTCTTGAACACTACTTACATGTATTTTTATAAGTGCATTGTCATTGTTCCACCAATATTGAGTGACATATCATTTCATATTTTCTATAGATGAGTTTATATCAGTTGTCCATCATTCTAATGATACATGGTACAGTCAAGTGTTCCAATTATTTGAAAATAATTAAATCAAGGTAAAATTATATTAGTATATAATTTGCAGTGCATTATCCATCCTGTATTACAAAAGATATTAATGATGTACATCAAACGTGTTGTGAAGCAGCGTTAAATAATTAGTCGCCATTGTACACGACACCGTTCACATAGTTTAAAATTCTGAAGCTGAAAAAAATCCAAAAATCCAAAAATCCAAAAATCCAAAAATCCAAAAATCCAAAAATCCAAAAATCCAAAAATCCAAAATCAGAAGAATTTTTAAATTTCATATCTTTCTGCATCTACAAAATCACTTATTTATCTAATCGTAAATAAATTTTTTGGAAAGAAATTTTAAATAAAATTTGATCATGAAAATTTCTGTGTCTACGCTTATGTTAAATAATTAAAATCGCTGGCACTCGTAAGAGCGTAAAACGAAAATTCGATTGAATATTCCTTCTTAGATCGTTGACACGAAGGACGATTGTCTGAGAAAGAATTACTCGTGGGAAAATAGTAAGATCACATTCGATCACGTGGGAATAGCTTATTTGGCGCTATTTCAAGTAGCGACATTCGAGGGATGGATGGAAGTGATGCAAGACGCAGTAGACGCTAGAGGTGTAGATCTTCAGCCTCAAAGAGAAGCAAACATCTATGCGTATTTCTACTTTGTGATATTCATCGTTTGCGGCTCTTTTTTTACATTGAATCTCTTTATCGGAGTAATTATAGACAACTTTAACATGCTGAAGAAAAAGGTAGGTGAAACGACCGTATAACCGCGACGTTCTTCAAGTATAATCTTCAACGTAATGAAACTACGAAACAAAAAACACCTTATAATTCCTTCCTATTCCCATCTCTTTTTCTGTTTCCTTTTTACAGTACGAAGGTGGGGTGCTAGAAATGTTTTTGACCGAAAGTCAAAAGCACTACTACACTGCCATGAAAAAACTTGGCCGTAAAAAGCCGCAAAAAGTGATAAAGCGTCCGATGAATCAAATCCTCGCAATATTTTACGACCTCTCGAATTCCCGCAGGTAAAGAAACACGTCTATCTAATCCTATCCAGAAAAAAAAGCCCGTTTACATACCTGTATATCAACCGATTTTTGCAGATTCGAAATAGCAATTTTCATTTTGATATTTCTAAACATGCTGACAATGGGAATCGAGCATTACGGTCAACCGCATCTGATATTTTTCCTCCTGTACGTGTCGAACGCATTTTTCACGACCGTGTTCGGCTTAGAAGCGATCGTTAAAATAATAGGACTACGATATCATTACTTCACGGTGCCGTGGAACTTGTTCGATTTCCTCCTCGTGCTGGCGTCGATTTTAGGAATATTAATGGAGGATATTATGGTAGACTTTCCGGTGTCCCCGACGCTCCTGCGAGTCGTGAGAGTGTTCAGAATCGGTCGGGTCTTAAGGCTGATAAAAGCTGCTAAAGGTATTCGCAAACTGCTGTTCGCACTGGTGGTCAGTCTTCCGGCGCTGTTCAACATCGGCGCCCTTTTAGCCTTGATTACTTTTATTTACGCCATTATCGGCATGTCGGTATTTGGCCATGTTAAGAAACAGGGCGCACTCGACGATATGGTAAGGATACACTAGAACTCAATTACTTTCCAATCCCTTCTTGAATCTTTTACTCTTTTCTGACAGTAAATGGAAGCAGACTCCTTCGAGCGACTGACGCGACGTTGTAAACAAACGGCCGCTAGCGAAAACACAGTCGGTAACTTTTATCATAAATCTGTAGTCACTGTCGATAAACATGACATAGAAATGTCTTGTCTCTCTGTTAGTGATGCTAATGGTAACTGTTTTTGATAGATTGTTACATTGATCACTGTGAAAAAGACACGAAGAAATTATTTGATTTGAATAAGAAAGCAGTGGCGACAAAAATGGCGGCAAAATTCAAATCTATTTGAAGACAAACTATCATATGAATATAACAATACAAATATTTAGATTAATTTAATAAGACACACTTAAAGTTATTAATATAGCTATAGTATCAATTTTGTGATACGAAATGTTAAATTTCTTTAAATCTTTTTTTTAGCACTTTTGCTAAATATCAATTAATATAATAAGATAATAATATATGTATAAATTAAACTAATGACGATTTTATTATATATCAGAGTGTATAAAGAAAATTGATACTATACATGACAGATTACAAAACTAATAATCTGAAAATATGAGGATTTGTAAAATTGTAAAATTCAAAAATTTTTGAATTTGAGATTTTTAATCCCAAAATTTGAAAATTTAGAAAAACTGAAACTAGCAAAATTATAAATATAGTAAATTAAAAATTTGCGTGTTTGGAAAATAGAAAAATTTAGAATTGAAGAATTTAAAATATTAATTGTAATACACCATAAGCGCCTCTAACGGTGAGTTATTAAATCAATTTGGCATGATAATGTCATTAAGAACTTCAACTTTACGTCTTACAAAAATGATAAATTAAAATGTATATTTTCTGTATATGTACAGCTTCAGAAAAGAGTTCTCTATAATATTGATAAACTCACAGAATCGTCTAATAAAGAAGAAATTTGATGTAACTTCAAGTAGTCATCTTATTTGTTGACATGAGTACATACTTTCGAGAATTCCAACTTTATCAATGTGTGATATCTGCCTTAAAAAGATCAAATAACCATGTGGTAAAAACTAGAGCGTAACCTACCCATGAGAACTTGATTTTGGCAACTGTCAAGACGTAAAGTGGAATGTACACGTTTATGGCCGAAGGAGTCTGTTCCCTTAATCCACGAATATATGTTAGGCGTTGATCGCAATCTTGCCGCTCTATCCGTTCTATTTTGTTTCTTTCTTCTTAGGTAAATTTCGAAACTTTCGGTAGAAGCATGCAATTATTATTTCGATTAATGACATCAGCCGGTTGGAACGACGTCTTAGAGTCTCTGATGGTACAACCACCAGATTGCGATCCGACTCCGACTAGCCGACAAATGAACGGAAATTGCGGATACCCTCTCTTGGCAATAACTTACTTTACTTCCTTTATCATAATCAGTTACATGATCGTTATCAATATGTATATCGCCATCATTCTTGAAAACTTTAATCAGGCCCATCAAGAAGAAGAGATTGGTATCGTCGAGGATGATTTAGAAATGTTCTACATCCGATGGTCCAAGTAAGGAACATTACTTTTATTTTTATTTGTAGCATAGTCAGGGCCGTCGCGTGGAGGGCCGCAACTGGACCACACAGGGGCGACTAAAGTGAAAGTCTGCCATTTTAAGTATAACACAATTTTTTTTAGGATTCAAGGAATTGTATCATAGAATTATTAGAAAATTAATTATTGCAAATGAGTTTAATAATTATAATAGTATTTTATAAAGGTCAATTCATAGCTTGTTACATTATTGTATATAAATTAGTACAACTATAATTTTTATTTCCAAATCCACAAATTCCTGACATTTTTAAGTTTTTGAATTTCTAAATTTTCAGATGTCCAAATTCCTAGATTTCTAAATCTCCAAATTCAAAATCCCAAATTTGAAAATTTCCTAAATTTTTTAATTATAATAAAAGGTCCCACTTGTACAAAATAGATATAATTTTCCCTAGGGAAAACTAGGCTGTATAGTACATATTCTTGCATTATATACTCGCGTTATATCGCCGCGTCTAGTACCGACTTACGTTGTACAGTCTCGCGTTATATCGCCATGCCTTGTACAGCACTGCATTGTGTAGTCTCGCGTTATATCGCCATGCGTATAACCTTACATTGTACAGTCTCGCGTTATATCGCCGCGTCTAGTATAACGTTGTATAGTCTCGCGTTATATCGCCATGTCTTGTACAGCATTACATTGTGTAGTCTCGCGTTATATCGCCATGCGTATAACCTTACATTGTACAGTCTCGCGTTATATCGCCGCGTCTAGTATAAAACGTTACGTTGTATAATCTCGCGTTATATCGCCATATTTTGTACAGCATTACATTGTGTAGTCTCGCGTTATATCGCCGCGTTTGGTACAGCATTACGTTGTATAGTCTCGCGTTATATCGCCCCGCGTTATATAGCCACTCGTCTGATACCTTGCATTTTCTAATCCAGTATTGTACAGCTTCTTAATTAATAATTTATATAACCTTCCGTTATATCGCCGCGCGTTGTACTACCACAAATTGTACATACTCCCTCGCGTTATATCATCATACGTCCTATAATCTAGCACCTACCTTATATTTTTCCTCAGTTCTCCAAATTCTCCCCATCATCGTGAATTGTAATTAAAAACGCCAACGTTTGACAAGCGGAAAAGCGCGGTTCTTTCAAATTAGTGACACAAAGGTAGTTCCTATGCACGCGACGGCTCTGAGTAAAGTAGCCTGAATGGTTTAGTAACGATAGAAATAATATATAGTAGTAATACCGTGTAATCATGGTTGGTCCGTAGGTATGATCCGCACGCAACACAGTTCATAAACTTTTCGCAATTAAGCGATTTCATAGCGAGCCTAGACCCACCATTAGGAATATCGAAGCCCAACATGGTTGCGTTGGTTAGCTTCAATCTTCCTATCGCTAAGGGTAATAAGATTCATTGTCTGGACATTCTGCACGCACTTGTCAAGCACGTTCTTGGACACGTCGAGGAGTCCGAGGATTTCCGAAAATTACAGGAACAGATGGACATCAAGTTCAAGAAACAATTTCCTACTCGTAAAGAACTTGAAATTGTTTCTTCAACGAGAATGTGGAAACGTCAGGATAAAGCTGCTACATTGATTCAACGTACTATCAGAGAATATATAGCGTGAGTACATTTGTATTTCTCTTTTGTGTATCGATTTCGAAACATCAACAAACTCATATAATTCTACCACATAAATCTATTATAAAGTACCATTATTAATAACTACAAGTTAACGTTCCAAGTCAAGGGTCTTACATGTGCATGAAAATGCCCATTAAATCCCAAGGTTGCGTTTCAAAATTCGCGCCTACTCTACTAGGCATTGTAGGTAGTCAGCCATTTTTAGTCAGACATTTTTATCTGTCTACTGCAACAGCATGTAGGTGTTATGTCGCTGGTTTATGTTGTCAGGTGTTTGATGTTTCGAAATTCAATTGTGACGCAGTTACACTGCGGATTATTAACAAAAATTGTATGATGATTCAGGGCGAAAAAAGAACGTGAAAGGGTTGCCCAAGAGGTGGATTCACAGACCCAAACGTCAAGTCCTGGTGTTGGGAATGAGGGTAGGGGTGGGGGTGGATGGAGTGGCAAAGTATCGGCTTTTTTGCATGTACATAGAGGTAGCCGAGCCAGTAGCCGCAAGTCCTCGAGGGCCAGCGACGCCAGCGATTTCAGCGAGCTCGGTGCCGCTTCGGCATGGCTTTTTCCAAATTTGCCTCTGCTGTTGCTCTCCGGCGCCACCGGTACTCATGAGGACCTGCCTCCTCCTGCTCTGACCGTATCCCGTCCCTCACCAACCACCGAACAGCAATCATTTGTCGGTTCCTCTATTGCTAGTGCTACTTCCTCTGATCTACACGCCAGGTTTGCGCTTCTACTATCTCTTATATTGACAATGCGTTACAAAATTATAGCCACGTTTCTTATATCTTTTATTTCAGTTGTGCAGGTGGTTCAGAAAAACATTCAATATTTATAGTACAGTAGGCTTGGTATGAGTGAAAAAATCTGCAGGATGTGAACAAAAAGATTATCCATCATTGGGGGGAGGAGACAGAACCTCGCTCGCTGAGAAATGTAACCTGATCCGCGTGTGTCCGTGAGACAATAACAATGCAACTATAAGACTTTTTTAATTTTAAGTTTTTCGTTGTTAAACTTCTACCAAAAGATTTTTGGTATTTTTCTGATTAAAATGAGATCAAACACGACGTAATTCAGGACATATTTACTTATTAGTGAAATAAGTAAGCAAAGTCCTCGATATAAGCAAAAAGCTTGGAATTACAATTATAATAAATATGTTCCAAATGTCGTCATGTTTAGTTTCATTCTAATCAGGAGAATATAACAAATATTTTGATAAAAGCTTCATAATAAAAAACACAAAAATAAAAATGTTTTATCTCTGTATTAAGATTGCCTCACGGATATGCTACTTAACTACATGATACAAGCGGAAGTTCAGGCCCAAAAATTCACTTATACCAAGGTTTTACTGTACACAAAATATGTGCTGAATAAAAAAAGCCTTAGAACAGGTAGTCCAAAGGTTAATAGTTTCTGAAATTAGATGGCCGCCATTTTACAGTAAAATGTGCCGCGAAATTTAATTTATACATAGCATTTCCAATACAAGTAAATCTATAGGAAAGTCATATAAAATTAAATGACGTTTAAAAAATTAGCATTATTTTTTCTATTAGCATTATTATATTATTTCATATAAAATTTGATGAGAAAATCAGTAACTATGTCTTTGGACTAAGTTCAAAATAAATGTGTGTTTATGTAATTTTACAAAAAAGAGTGGACGGCTATATTTCGTGACGCACTGTATTGTACACATTGATAAGTTTAACAAAATCATTATGAAGTGATGTATAATTATTAGATCGATCGCGGGACCGACCCTCGGCCGACAAGATGCCGTTGAAAGTTATCCCGACGAGGAAGTTCCAAGTCTTCCTACGAAGCGCAGATCACTTCCACCGAGCGTTACAACGCTCTCTCTGAACACGTTACATCGCGATATCAAAGAAGCATTTAGCAGACGTTGCGGTAGCCTTCGAAAGAAACATCAACCAGCTCCTGAACCAGCTCCGCTGCCAATCGAATCTACCGACGTAAGCATACTTGTCACGGAACCCAGTCCAGAGAATTCAGCGCCACCCTCGAGACCAGCACTCCTTAGACGACAATCCGCCGCTACGGTTGTACACGTTCTCGTTCACAGAGAGAGCGAAGAATATCGTGACACGCAACCCGACAATGCTAGTTGATCTTAGACCATTCGAACACACGCTCAACACCCTTTCGAGAAAGAGAACGAACGAACAAATATCACGTGTAAAACGAGAGGCTAGGCTGAAAGCCGCCACAAGTTTTGTTATCGCGTTACGGTAACCTCGATACTTAATCCGGTTCCTTCTCCTCTCCCCCTTTCTTTGACGTGGTTGCCTTATCTCATCATCATCTGATATCTAGTTGGCTAAACTTCTGAAGACCTCCATTGAAATTTTTGATAGCTTCATTTTTATAGAAAATAACGCCTACGAGAAGGAACTCAGATCAACACTTTTTGCCATTTTTTGTCACTACCTTACCGATAAGGTCAAAACGTTTTCATATTATTATGCAATTTGTAATTTATTGATTTATTGTTTAGACTGTTATTAGTCCTTTATAGTTTAATTCAGTTTTATTTTCTTCCTTTATGGAAGATGGTGTATTATAATCTTATTTGCACTTTATCATTCTGTGCAATTTGTATGTTGATTTTTATGTGAACGATGACTATTGTAATTGGTTATACCAAGTGATATACTATACTAGGAGATGTATTATACAATTCTTATATGTTGTCATTTTAACTGCCAGTATCTTCAGTAAGTTTTATTGTATACTTCTGATAGGAATTTTTAGATTTTATTACATTTCTATTTTTTTATCAGTAAGGTAGTTGTGGTAAAAAAGAGTGGTGTTGACTATATATGATTAAACTAAAATTCCTCACATAAACGTTATTGTTAAAAGAGAAACGTTGTTTCTCCATAAAATAAAGCTAGGAAAAAAATTTCAGACAAATCAGTGAGATTTTCAGAAGTACAGCCAAGCAATCTAATCTTAATCCTTTGACTGTTTCCATTTTAGAACATTTCAAAAGGATTTTCGCTTCGAGTCAATATACTTGACCATTGTTTCTTATGATCTCTACACTTTGTAACTTTATAAAACGTATTTTATTCTTATATTTCGATTTTATCTGAGCGAATACACGAGTAAATTTGTTCTTCTTCTTAGAGAAAGCAACGTCTCCGGTAGCCATTTTGATTCTAGCGAATAACCTTTATCTTTTTCGAGGTTATGTCTTTTCGACGAGCTTATGTCTTTTCCTTCCGCGGTAAAGGTACATTCTGAAACGAAAGTATAGCTCGAGTTATTGAAAATTCTTCTACCACGATTTAAAAAGCGATTGGACCAATTTAACGAGATATATGCTTGAACTCCGATCCCTTTTTCACTCGAATCACTGATTAGATCCACGAATCTACTCGCTACTTTAAAGAGAAATTAATAATAGTTACATGAACATAGAGAATAATACTGCCTCGAATAGAATAGATTTTTAATTTGTAATTGTTTTGAAGGAAAAATACGAGAAGGACAAGGAAAAGAGAGGGAAAGAGAAGATGGAAAGAGGAAAACTACGCGCGAATTTTTAAAAATAAAAAAAATAATGATGAGAGATGAACGGTTACGTTATATAACGATGTTATCACTGTTTCTTCACATTTTTAAAGGAAACGTAGCTTACTAGTGTCGCTGTTGACTTCCTGTGCGATGCCAGTTACGAATAAACGTAGAACATAAATGTACGTGGAGTTCGGCTTAACCGAAATTATCGACATTACAGTATTCCTAATACGTAATGAGGTTACATGCTTATATTATGGCGTACTTACGTACAATTTTGTGAGATTCGTCCTGTACCTTCTAGAAAGAAAGCCTTTCTCTTCTGGACACGTTTCGATGGTTACTAATACTGTAGACTCTCCTTATATGGCCACCGTTGCAATAATCTTACATTCCTTTATCTTCTGGTAAATCGTATAGTACAGATCACACTGACGCACAATGCATGGCGTTCTGTCACGTGGTAATATGACATAATAATTTCTACATTTCTGAACTTGAATATTTAAAAATTTCTGGACCTCCTAATCTGAAAATTTTTGAATATAAGTTCAAAGCTTGTCATTTAAAAAATTGTAACATTTTATAATTTAAAAATTTTTAAGTAATAAGTTTCTCAATTTATAAATTTAAAAACTTACAGATTTATAATTTGCTTAATTTGAAAATTTGAAAGTTTGCAAATTTACAAATGTATGATCTCAAATTAAATTTCTGTAAATTTTAATTTCGCAAATTGTGAACTTTGAAAATTTATTAATTTCTCAATTTAAAAGTTTGTAAAAAGAATTTGAGAATTTAACAAATTTTAGAGTTTAAGAATTTGAGAATTTATAAATTTGAAACTTGAGAAATTTATAAATTTCCTAATTTGTAAATTTGAGTATCTGTAAGTTTGTAAAATTTGGCAGTGCGGCAACATAGCGGGAGTCTACAGTATATACGTTAATTAGCTCAGTGATCGATATTAAGCTTTCCATTTACATCGCATTTACCAGTACAGTCAATATTTTCTTCTTAATTATATCTAAGTAAACATATGCGTTTCTTCATTTACTCTTGCACAAATTAAATAAGAATAAACAATCACTCACAAATTTTTACTAGTTCTAATAACAAGTACGGCACAATTTTATACATTTTTTTCTATCAAATGGAAAACATGAAGTCGATCGCCGGTGAGCAACAAAGTAAAAAATCTGTTAATAAATAGTATATTAATATTGTTGATTATTATCGTTGATATTATTGGACGCTGGATCATGTTCAGAAGAATTGGCTCAGTCCTTAAATGTTTTTCGCGTATGTGTTTTAAAAACAGAACGAATTAATTTGACGCGTTATACGTATAATTGCACATATCGCGTAACAAAAAATAAATAATGGCTGTTGCTTTCGGAAACAAGGAAAATACAAAAATACCACGAATTTTGTATTTGTACAATTTTGCTTATTTTCTGTATTGTTCAGGGCGTCCACTCACGTTCTTTTTTAATCGAAAAAAGCAATACTATATAACACTTCTTGATTACTTGTTTCATTTAATTTATTATAATGCAACATGTAAGAAGAAACAGTTATGTAACTACAGTAGCATGTATCTAAACCCCGGAGCCGGAATTTTTAAATGAACAGTGCAAAAATTTATTAACTTTGGGACCGTTATTATATACGTAATTTTTTAATGTCATTCAAGAACCACTTTATTGTTTAATAGTGAAACCGAGTATTGGACATTGTCTTTTGAAGTACATTAGAATTGATATTACCCGACTATGACGCACTTTCAATCCATTGTTTAATTCATATTAACTTAACATTACACGTCTTAACATTTTCTTCCAATTTTGTATCTTTTCTCATGTGGCACGGTTGTTTCGATTTTGAGTAACTGTACCAGAGATCAGTCAAACCTATGTGACCTTTGTTGAAGTCGAAACGAGCGATTATCAAACATGATACCGAAATTCTTGAATTTTGATTTTGGCAGTATGCATTCGTGAAAAGGTTGAGAACCGCTGCCATATGGACTTCACGTTCGTAAAGTCAAAAAGTACTACGAGATTTAATTCGCGGCGAATCCCGCCAGAATATTCGAGACAGTCACGCGTGCAAGAACGTTCGCGACATCTTTTTTAATCGACACGCTCTGAAAGTCGAATTCTCCCGAAAACTGCGTAGCAACGAAACTGTTGCTACGCGCAATAGTTTGTTTATTCGCCGTCAGTCTTCTCGCGACATTTGCATATGACGGTCCTCCGCACGCGACGTCAATTTCTTGTATCCGTAATACGCGAACATTCTTCCGAAGCGACTACAATTATTTACTCATACGCGCAAGTCTTACAAAAAGCATCTACAGATTCAAAATGTACCAGAAGCAGGAGACACTAGTTCTACATATACATTGTTTTCCTCGGAACACAAACTTTATCCCAATTTTATGCTATTGTATTCAAAACTAAGTAGGTTGTAAGAAAATACCGTTTACTATTCATAAGAGTGAAAAGTTTGGTACGGGAAGTGTGTAAAATGTCATGTTTTAAAAAAGTGAATGCGCAATATGTTTTGGCTCTGGGGTCCAGATACATATACTCGTCTTCGAAGAAGAAACATAATTACCAAATCTGACTATGTTACATTGTTATAGAAATTGAATCAATCTATCATACAGGATAAAGTGTTTCATCTTTAAAATAAGATTATAGGTAACAAGACGCAAAAACACGTGTCAAAAGCTGTACTTCCAAAAACAGTACAAATAGATTATTTAATTCTTATTCATTCGATTATTAACTGCAAAACATCTTCAACCCTTTGCGCTTCAAATATGCCCGTCCCTTTCCCCCTTATTGAAACTATAATGTTTTACATATATTGCACATATACGTAGTACCGAATGCCTAAACAAAATGGTGGTATATAGAAAGATTATCATAAACCTTTCGACTTATTCGGCAAATTTAATTTATCATTTTCTCGTTATTTCATATAATATTTAGTACTTAAAAATTATATTCAGAGATTCTGCCTGAATTAATTTCAAGGTATTAATATTTTTATTAATTTTAAAGTATTTCGTGCAAACATGTCAAACTTAATTGGATTAAAACAAAGTCATATCAAATATTTTCAAATGAATGAAACTTTGTGTAGACCTGATTTAGTGTATTCATATCCTTATCACCTCTATATTCTTTTAACATCGTGTATTTTTCTATTTGAACGACATTTGACTTTTCAAAAATCCTCACCTTTAGGAAATGTGTTTTAAAACAATGATGACGCAATTGTACGAGTGACAGCACGGTACGAATACGTGAAAATGGCGTACATTAGTGTAAGGTGGAATTGAAAGAGAAACTAGAAGAATTGTGGGAGATTATCTCGTGTTGTACGATTTTATTTCAGAATTATGTTTTTAGTAATAGATTGTTCGGGACACCGCCATTTTGGGAGAACTCTGGGTCTTAGGAAATTTTAATTCGACCCTGCAATCATAGATATCAATGAGTAGGCAATTTGAAAATTCGAAATTTCGCTACGTCTAAGTTTGTAAGTTTTTAGATTTCTAATTTTTTTATTTTTAAATTCCTAAATTCTTAAAGTCTCAAATTTCTAAATTTCCATATTTTTAAATTCCTGAATTCTCAAATTTCAAAATTCTTAAATTCTCAAATTTTTATTTCTAAATTTCTAAACTTCTAAATTCAAAAATTCCCAAATCCCTTAATTTGTAAATTTTCAAGTGTATCGATTTGAAAGTTTATTAATTTAAAATTAATACATCTATATTTTTTATACTTAATACTTCTTTAATTTTAAATTTTCTAATTTCCAATTTACTAAAATTTCCATTTTTTCCAAATTACAAGGTTTCAAAATAATGGTTACATTTTAGAATTGAAAATATGTAAATTTGCTAATTTAAATAAATTTGAAAAATACAACTTTAAGAAGTGAAAAACAAGTTCCTATTTCACATCTATCATACAACCGCCATTTTTATGAATACTATGCCTGCACATCGCTATTTTAAAACACATTTGAGACCGAAACTATTAAGCATGATACAAACAGTTAACACTAAAACTATTAAATCAGTTATTTGGCTTATTCAGAATTTTTCTTTCAAATTATAAAATTTATTAAAATGCTTTTCTTGAAATTTATGTAGACTTTTATCAAGATAAAGAATTTATGTATATTGTATGGTCTGTTTATTTTTCTATTGTAGTTTTAATTTCAAATCAAGCGTGTATTAACGGGTCAGTAGGTTCAGTGTTAGATAACGATAAATTGTAACAATTGGACGTCCTTCTCATACATCACCATTTTCATTAAGAAAATCATGCTTGGTAAATTTTTTAATTTCTTTCAATCTGCAGTTAATTGATTAAAGCGATTAATTTTTGAAGAAATTGGAGCGCAAATGGTTAAGATAATTCAACGAACATCCATTGTATATAATCTTCGGCGACGAGTAGTACAGTACCGCATAAAGCTATACAAGGTATTCCAAAAGATTGTATAACCCAAAAATTGTCAATCTTTTGTGTTAGAACGAATCAGAAAATATTTACCATTTTGCAATTTAATAGAGAAAGTTGCGGGCACAAAATTGTTTACAGATCTAAAAAATTCTTAAATTTCCTAAATTGTAAATTCTAAAATTTTAAAATTTCTAAATTCTCAAATTCTAATTCTGAAATTTCTGAATTCCAATATTTCCAAATTTCCGAATACCAAAATCTAAAATTCTTAAATCCTCAGATTTTCAAATTCGAAATTTCCAAATTCCGAAATTCCCAAAATTCCAAATTCCAAAAATTTCTTTACTTTCCAAATTTCAGAACTTCAAAATTCTTAAATCTCTCTAATATAATTTCAAAATGGTCAACAATCTTTTTGTTCGTTTGGAACTCGAAATATCTGCAATTTTTGGATTGCACACCTTTTTTGAAACACCCTGTATATACGACGCAAATCACCAAATGTTCGCATCTCAAATATATATAGTAAATATTAATTTTTTTTGTTTATTTCATATACAATTGTTGTTTTCAATATATTAAATGTGTAATCGTATATTATTTTCCCATTTATATTACGAAAAATTTGAAATTATTTTTTCGTAACTAAAAACATTGCGCAGCATTAAAGAAAATAAATGATATTATTAAAAAAGAAAAATATATCTAGAAAGAAAAGTAACACCTTGATTTCTCAAAAAAAAAGTGAAAAAATAATTTTTGTGGAATTTTAATAAAATTTTAAAAGCAGCAAAGATATTTGAGATACGAACGTCAGGTGATTCCGAGCTGCAACGATAGATGCTACACGTGCTTCACAAGAAGTCTTGTGCGAAAAAATGGGCACAATTGGTTAAAATTGAAAAAACTTGATTCGCTTGACAGCATATTAATTACTGTTAATTGATTGATTTATATTTGCGTCGTTCCGAGTGACTTCTTGTGAAGTACGCGTAACATGTATGTTTGGAAAGATGGCGATTTTGTACGAAAGAATAAGTTGAAAAAAAATATATTTGTATTGTGTTTTTTATATGGAGCTTTGTTTTCGAGTAAATTGTGTTTGAAAAATTTTTAAAACATACATTTATACTAAATTTTTATAATTATATAGATAAGGTCCTTGATAACATATTTCAAAGTCATTGAAATCGACGAGGTGTGCTTTTTTCTATATAATTACCAATTTTTTTGCAGCGGAATATATTATTATTGATTAAAATGATTTTAAAATATCGTCAGTTAATATCTTTAATGATGTTCTTAAAATATTATTGAAAACAAAGTTTCATGTAAAAAAAGCATTGTTCTATATTTTTTACTACTTACGTTTTTTCGTATAGAAATCGCTATGTGTACTATACATGTATTATGGAACACCCTGTATACACATACAATGTATTCATCGTAACGGTATTCACAATTTCAAGGAATACACGGTAATTTATCACAAAAAAAGTATTTGAAAAGTTTCGAAAAAATTATTCAAAAACGATAAAAATAAATTTTATGATCGCATTTAACAGGAATATGAAATAATATAATGCGATATAATTGTGAAACACAATTTGGAAATATAAAAATTTAGGAATAAAGAAATTAAACATTTTTTTCAATATAGAAATAATAAGAAATATTTCCAAATTTGAAAATCTGAGAATTTGGAGACTTGACAAATTTTTAAATTTCGAAATTTAGAACTTGAGGATTTGAGAGTTCTAAAAATTTAGAATTTAGAAATTGTAATATTTGCAGATTTAAAAATTGGAAAATGCAAAAATTCGAAAGTTTTTTATTTAATATCCTAAATTAAAGAAGTGATTTTCGAATTCAATTCCGGAATTCGAATATCCAAGAATGCGCGCCAAATTCAAACAACAAAAACATAAGTGAATATCGTTACAATAAAAATACAAATCGTATGTGAAATTTACTATAAATACATATTTATAGTAGAAATATGTATATAATTTTCACGTTAAACATATGCACATAAACAAGGAATTCGATTAAATGTTGAATTAAATTTTGCCGAAAAATGCAACAAAGCCATGAAGAAATACGTGTCATAAACAGCTATACATATAACATGAAACTAAAAACTGTGAAATTTCCGGGAGAAAGAGAATAGGAAAGGGAAAGAAAGCGGTGAGAGTATGAAAGAATACAAAGAAAAAAAACGAGGACAAAAAGAGAGAAAGGAACAACGAATTTTGTAGTAATTAGTTACATTTTTACTGTAACCTTATCAGTCCGTCTTTAGTTGTTTATTTAGTATTTAGATCTCTCATATAAGAACACAAAACTTATTGATTTAGATAACGATAGATTTTCATCTTAACCTTTTTCAATTTTCCTTTTCACGAATAATTATTGCCATTAACACGCCACGACCTCTTGTCGACCTCTAGTGCCTATTAGAAAAACGATTGTGAGTTAATATACATATACAGAAGTATAAACATGTATATTAGATTTTCATATTAAAAATATTCGTACGAGGAAACGGTACGAGTTAAATTTATGCAAATCTCTTGCTAGAACGTACGGTGTACGTTACTTTTAGAGTTTTAGCATTTGATGCTTAATGCTTGGATAAATCTGTTTTTCGCGTGTTAATTACAAGGTACATAGCATCGAGGATCATGAGGAAAAAAAAGGAGAAAAAAATGTTAATGAATCAAACGAATAGAAAGCAACCAAGGGCAAAATTGAATATTTTGAAAACAAATCCAATTACGAAATGTGATTTTTGCAGGACACGAGGCGTAAATGTATGCATCATGTCAATTAAAGGCATAAATATATTGTACTTAATTCGTAATTGATGTGTTTACACGCGATACGTCTAGATACTATACGTACTTATAAATATACCAAAATACAAGAGACTGGACATACACTCGGTTGCAACGTAGGTTTCCTTTGGATAAAAACAAATGCAGGACAACAGAACCTCCTGCTTGCCTTGACAGTTACAATACTTTACTTAAAAATTTTAACATTTATATCTTTGACAAAATTTATAAGTTAATCAATTTAAAAATTAAATCATTTCTAGGTTAAATTTAAGAATTTTAAAACTTAAAAAATAAGTTTACGTTACAGAGTATGTTAACCATTTTACCGCCATTTTTAAAGTGTGTTAGGTTAGGTTTGTACATTTGGGACTGTACGTATTGAAGCGAGTGGTGAGGCCTCTTTCTCCTACGTTGCCATTTTTCCGCGGGAAACCTACGTGCTCGTCAGTGTACATGACCTTGCTATCCTAAGTACTTGAGGATAGTGAAATTCCAAAAAAATTGTACAATCACGCTCGGGTATCCTACGGGAACCCGAAAATTTTTTAGATTATAGCTTTTCTGCGCATTTTTTCTGCGTGTCTGCGTGCTGCGTGCGTGTGTGTGAATAAAATTCGATAGGATAACGTCTGCTCAAAATGCCTACACATATTTAAACACACTGTCAGGATGCACTTGAGTAATTATTCATTATTATTGCAATTTATAGCTTTTTTCTTTGAATGCTGGCACGTACGATTAAACATTTAGTTCGTCGTTCGTTCCAGTTGATTTGACATTTCTCACGTTTTTTGATAAAAATAATCAAAGTGACAATATTGTTCACGCAATATAATACAATAATGTAAAAGAAATTGAATGTCCTATCGTTCGAGCGAAAAGAAAAAAGCGTTAAATTATGAGAAAAAAATTATTAATAAATAATGATAAATGATAAACACTTATTGGTACAGGGTCAACGACAATCGAAATCGTGAAAGCAATTGTATAGCTTTTTTCTTTTCTTCTACGTTTTGCGAGATTTGCTTTTCACTAACTTAATATAACTATTTCAAAATAATTATCGTTTATCCTTAACGGTGAATATTCTATCGTTAATAATTAATAATTTCGATTTTAGCTTAGTATCGAAATTATTATACCATTAGAAATTTACCATAGCTGTGAGAAAGTATAAGTTTAACGTTTAAACATCTGACAATGATAACAATATAAGAATAATGAGAAGAATGAAAATGGGGGAAAGGAGAATAGATATAGAAGGAGCAGGCAAACAGACAGAGCAGAAAATATTACATTAGCGTTGCAATGATTCGTCGGATAAAGAAAATTTAACAGGAAGAGCAGTGAAACGTTCCTTTAGATCAAACTTGTAAATAGATTAATGATCCTCGTTAGTCTGCAAAAACGACCGTTTTGTCACATAAATTTATAAAGAAAGACTCAAGCATTGTTCTTCCATACACATATTAATTTCAATTAATTGATGTTTTGCGAGCATTTTGATTTCAAGTAAAATTAATTCACATATTTATATTTAAAAATGTCTTTTCTTCTGTAATTTGTGATCTACTATTAATCAAATACATTTTTCCTTTGTGATAGCGACAATGCTTGATATAGTTTGTAAGGTAATACGAGCAAGCAAATACTAAATTTTAAAATATACAGTCTAATTAAATCTGATGTTATATTAAAAATACTAATAATATTAATAATAAACGAGGTGAATAATAAGAATGTTAACCATGTAAGGATGATATTATATAAATATTGCTAAAAAATAAATTGTGGAATTTATCAATTAAATTTGTCTAAATTTTGTAACATTTATTCTTATATTAATTTCAATGAAATTTATAACGTTTCTCATTTGTTTATAATATGTTCTTGTAAAAATTTATTTAATGCATATTCAATATTTTACATACAAGAACAATTCAATATATTAAACTATGTACATAAATATAGTAAGCTATGTGCTATATCCTTCCCTGACAAATCTCTTTTACTTAGTTGAAACTCTAGTTCGTTTGTTCCAGGAAAAATTTGTGCCATAACTACGAGGTTTAGGATTGTTAATGGTTGGCTTCTGTATATAATAGTCCCATCCCATTTTTTCACAATGAGCAATAGCTTCCTTTTCCGAAGCAAAATCCACCTTAATATTTGACATGGGATCACCTCTATAGAGCAAAACACATTATTAGCAATGATTAACATTTAAACTATAGATCTATATGCATTTACAATATATTCATAAATTATATAATGTACAAACTGTGGAGCTCTATATTTTACAGCCAAACACATAGGTTGCTCCAATATGTCATAAATACATCAACACCTGCAGATTCCTAACAGTCAATCAGAATATTCTTGTTTATACTTACGTTGATGTCCATCCTATGAGAGGATTTTCCCAACGTTCACGTGTATCAAAGTCTATTTGCCAATAATTTATATTATTTGTTCCAGATTGCATAGCATTTTTTGGAGGTTGATAAATACGAACTCTACGAGTTTTTATATGTTCTTCTGGAACACCTGAAGCTAATCCAACATCCTCCACAGAGGATACTGTAATTGTATCTTTCATAGCATCCCGATATAACTGTTCATCTTTATTCATGAATTCAATCTGATTATCTTTAGGTAATGTCAAACTCGTAGATTGGTCTTTGCTAGAACTACTAGCAAATCTTTTCATTAAGCTAAAAATTCAAACAATATAATCACAAATTTCGGGTTACACAAAATTCTAAAATTATAACTAGCGAAAATTTTCAAAAAATGGAATTAAAACTTACCTAAAACATGCTTTAATATCATTACTGCTTCGAATCGCAGAAAAACCACGACATGCCATTTTTTATATCGAAGGGTTAATTTTATCTGCCTTAAATTACAGCTGTTATGAATGGTTAGACAACGAAGTTGTTCGTTCCATAGAAGATCATGATCATCTAATGACGAACTTTTGTTTATTCTGCGCACATCGACCCTGATTGGTTCAAACACACTTTGTAACCAAGAGCAACACGCATGCGCATATGCGTTACTCATGACACTGGGCGTATATAACCAGTGACCTTTTTCTTTTATAAACTTCGCATATCATCAATCCTGTTCTTTAGTTGTATATCTTTGTCCACCCTATATAAAACTATTGAAATGAGAAGTATGCTAGTAGTATTAACAACTGAAGATAGCCGAGTTGCGCGAATTGAGAGTGTTTCCCATTTAACAGAGTCTAAATACTACAATTTGTTGTCAATACGCATGCGTTAATGTTATGGTTATGTTAAGTTTGTATATTCAATATACTTCCATCACGTGTATTTATGTTGACAACTAAATCAGTTCATTGTACAAATTTTGTTGATTCTGGCACAAAACATACTGTTACTTAATAATTAAGATTGTTCATACTTTTACTTATTTTACTGTATTACTAAAAATTTTGGCTAAAGTGATAATAACTTTGTTATTTTGCTGTATTTAAAATGCCTGTCGATCAAAGACGAATTAATGGCCCAGAAGTAACTGTACCGTATCATATTTATCCTACTATCGGCAGTAAAAGTGACGAAATAAAATATGATTCCAATAATAGAAGCGACAAACGCACCAACAATGAAATTAGAAAAATATGTAAGATTATAGCTTATGTAAATTTTGTATAATATAAATAAAAGTAACTTAACATAAAAATATTTATTGATTTATAGTCAATTAATAGAAGTAATCATTTACATCTTTTTACAGTTTTAAAAACAGGTGTAGTGAGCCAAGCAAAAGGTTCCGCTTATATAGAAATGGGAGATACAAAAGTAGTTTGTTCAGTATTTGATCCTAGAGAAATTCCAAATAAAAATGGTTATTGTGTACAGGGAGAAATTTATTGTGAATTCAAGTTTGCTTCTTTCTCTTGTCAAAAACGAAAAATTCATCAACAAAATGCAGAAGAGAAGCAATACAGTTTGATTTTGCAAAGGGCTTTGGAACCAGCTGTTTGTTTGGTAAATAAATGTTTATCTTTGTGTTCTCCTTTTTTTACACAATATAAAATAAATATTGTGAAATATTATTTCACTAAATTATCTCCTTTCAAAATAAACTTCATTTACCCACTAAACATATTGATTTTAGATAAATTGATTGTATATTATTTAGTTTTGTGTAATACACATGCAGTAAGTTCTTTATTAATATTCTTTATTTTAGAAACAATAAGCAGTTTCTTTTATTGTTTATTTATTTTGATAATTAATTTCTTTTTATTCTGTCATTAGTACTTAAATTTTTTACCTTTTTCAGTAGTAAACACTATTTTGTTATAAATTGTTTAGTTTTTAGTATACTTTTAGTTCCAGATATTCTTTATATCTGTTTTTAATAATAAAAAGTGAAAATTTCAATCAAAACTTATACTCAAAAGAAAAACATGATTATATTGTTCGTTTTTCAGCATGAATTTCCTAATTTTCAAGTAGATGTATATGCAATGGTCTTAGATAATGCTGGATCTGCTTTAGCTGCTGCAATCACAGCTGCTAGTACTGCCTTAGCTAGTGCAGGTGTACCCATGTTTGGTTTAGTCACAGCTTCCACTATCGTAAGTGATGTTAATAACAAAATTAAATTACAGCTATTTTATTTTAACCATTAATGTACTTAAAATTGCAGGGTATATATGGTGATTGTTTTTTAATGGATCCTACGGATACGGAAGAAACAATGTGTAACACAACATCCGACACTAAAAATAATTTCAATCATGGAATAATTACACTAGCTAGCCTTCCACAGCATGGCCAAGTTTCTGAAATATTTTTAATTGGAGATATTGATACAGATTCTATTATGCGTGCAACAGATGTTTTAACCGCGACTAACAAAGATATTTGTCCTGTTGTTCAACAGTGTTTAGTAAAGACTATTATGAAACTGCAGAACAAATAAAACAAAATATTTGATCAAACAGCATTTTCTTATTGCATTTAAATATATATTTTTATAATACAAAATTTGTATAATTTTTATATTTATATGGTTTTCACTGTTTCTATAGTGATTATTTCATGTTACAATATATCAAAATGCCGTTTTTTTTTACAAAATTACTAATGTGTCAAGAATGCAAATAGTACATGCGTAAACAATCTTAAGAATGGTTAAGTTCATTCTAAATCTAACTTCTTCCATTTTTCCTATGACTTGCATATAATAAAATATTCATTACTCTAACTATTTCTATACATTCACAGGAACGTCATTGCGCTTTACGCATCAAATTTGATAGAAGTATTTGAAACTAAGTAACGCTTATTTTATATAAATACATATAAATTAAAAACAAATTCTACCCCTCGATCAAGGCACCACATTATCGAGAAGACACATTTTTTTCAAAGTGGTCAGCATTCATGTTGCCCTATGAGAAAAAACGTTGAAATCGTATTTTTTAATTTATATAATTTAGTAAAATATCATTCATTTTATACTTTCAATACTAGAAAAGTTAAAATAAGAACTAAAAAATTCCTTACCTAGATTTTATCTTTGTAAAGCAGAACACTGATATATAAAAAATGAGGTCACTGTTTTTTGAAACTTTTTAAAATTGGATAGATATTGTCAAACGCCTCATAAATCTCTTGTCGAACTTTCGCCCCTGTTTAAATAATAAAAAATAATAAACTTGAATACATAAATATATATATATATATTTTTTTAATATACACAATATGCAATATTTACCTGTTAAAACCACTTTTCCTGATACAAATATAAGTAGAACAATTCTAGGTTTAACCATTCTATATATCAATCCAGGGAACAATTCTGGTTCATATGAGGAGAACTGTCCATGGGTGAGTACCAAACCCTCCAGTCTAATTGGAAATTTTACATCGCAACTTCCTACCATATTTTGTATTTTAAAATCCAGGAATTTTGCCTTTACCCAAAATAAATAAAACTTATGATAATCAATTACTAATTAATAATGAATCTAAAAATATTTACTAACCGGAAAACCAAGCTTCTGTATAATTCTGGCATACTTTCTTGCAGCCAACCGAGAATCTTCTTCACTTTTTGCTCCAGTGCAAACCATTTTTCCGCTACTAAATATTAAAGCTGTAGTTCTGGGTTCTCTTATCCTCATGATGACTGCAGCAAATCTCTTTGGATTATATTCTGCATTTCTTGCATGAAGAGCAATTTTTTTTAAATCTAATTTACAATTTAAATTAACTGTAGAGACAATATTCCTGTAATATTAGAAAACATAATGATTATGTATTTTTTAAATTAAATTATTCTTGACTTACTGAAGCTGCGGTAATATTCCTGGATCTGCTGAAGCTGGTGTCATAGGCGTCATTGGGCCAGGCGTAGATGGTCCTATTGATGGTGGTGCTATATGATTAGTATTTTGTACTAATGGGGACATCATATTTTGCTATAAAGAAAACATTTCTTATAAACATAGTATAAATTGTGATAATAATTAAACATATTTTTATTTTGTATAATCTTACTGGTGTTTGTGGCTGCATAAGGCTCTGAGGTGTTGCGAACGTAGGTGTTGTTGTATATGCATGCATAGTCTTTTGTGGCGTTCCAAGCATAAGCATATTTGGGCTCATGGCATGCAGTTGTTGCAATTGATACTGTTGTTGTTGTTGCTGTTGTTGTGGTTGTTGTTGCTGTTGTTGCTGTGATTGTTGTTGTTGCTGCTGCTGTTGCAACGCATTAGGTAAAATTTGTTGATCCTCTTCTGGTTGATGTAAAGGAGTTCCTATGCTGGGTATACTAAACCCGGGACTTGGTAACATCTGATCCATTTTGTCTCTTTTTTTTTACAATATAAATAAATTAAACTGCAATGATGTTTTAATAGTTTACAGTTAAACAAATAACTTTTAAAAAACTGTAACTTTGTAACAGACTATTGTAATTCCAATTATGCCCATAGTTCAAGAAAACGTTTCATTAATAACATTTGTAGGTTACAGTTGAAACATGAAATTTTTATTTCTACAGATGCAGGAAACATTAACAAACACACTTTTTAAATAAAAATAAATATAAATATTTATTGAATGTTAATGCTTGATTTTATTTTTTATCCATTATGTAGTCCTTGTTTGTTTACAACTATACTTTAAAAATTGCCATAGACTCGGAAAAAGTAAGATAAACTACTTTGTTATATCACAAATAAAATATTGTTGTAAGGATATCTTTCAACAACAGGACGATCATTACGATTGCTAAGAAGTCATTTCTGCAATAATGTCCGAATGCACTTATGAACAATAATTAGAAAATAATTATCCATTTTATATAATGAAAAAGCACGTAACATTTACAAGAAATCATAAACAACTGTAGCGTTCTCGATACAAAATGTATGATATGTTATTGTGAACTTGGCTTTAAATAGGGGAAACCCACATATTTATAGAAAAACTATAGCACGATTTGCAAATTTTAAATTTGCAGAATAAAAATTTTGATTCATGTTATGAAAATAATGTTATATTATTCACTGTTATGAAAATATAAAATTTAATACGAAAATTTTAATGTAGATATTTTTAATAAGAAAAATATTACATTAACTTTAAAAAATAAGAATAAATTAAATGAGTGTAACAACACCGTTTGTTTAACAATAATCAATCTAGATTCTAGAAGATTGAATGGTGAAGCGAGGAATCGTGTGATAAGGAGTGGCTAGAAATTTCGTGAACGCCAATAATGAGCTCGCAAACTCCTGAATATAAATATCGCTCTGACAGATTCATGTTGAGATCTTTTTGGAGAACAAAAAATCTTTTCTACAATTTCCTTGAGATTCCTAGGATTCCGCTACGATTTCCTACGATTCCTACACAAGTTATTTTATAATTCTTCCATTAATTTTTAAATTAAACATTAATTATTGTTATATTTTACTGTCTTTTAAACAAAGTGAAGGTAATTTTTTTGATCCAGTTTTCAGATTTTCTATATCACGTTGCAGCAAATATTTTTGTTGCATTTGATTATAAAGAATATTTTCAAGCTTAGTTATGTCAGTTTTATAGTCAAGTTCTATTTGTAACATATTTTCCTATAACAAAAAGTAACATTATACTTTAAATACTATTCAATTAGCATGTTTTGGTATACAAACATAATTATTTTCTTACTTCTGGAATTAAGGTATGATCTAAGTTTCTTCCGAGTTTAATGTTTTCTTTTTCTAACACTGTCAATAAACTTAATTTTTCAGTATTATCTCGAATTAAGCACTCTAAAACCATTGATGCCTTATTACAGTTCAATTTAATACCTAAATCACAAAAGAAAATTACTCAGTAAACATTTATTAGAATAATTTTATAGGAATTGAAGTTTTTTTTATTTACTTTTCATTTCTTTATTAAAAGTTTTCATCATTTTTCGTACATCCGTTTTGGTATCATAAATTAATCTTTGTAAAATAGTCTCATATAAATTAACTAGTGATACTTGTTGACCAAATTTCTGTATCATTTTTTCTTTTATCTCTTCTTTCAGTCTTTTATTTTCAGTTTTCATGTATTTTAAATCTAATTTTATTCTTTTAAGGTGTGCTTCATTTTCTCTAAAAAACAAAATACATAGATATTAATTTATGAGCATTTATTCTTGTAAATTACTTAATATTTTTACCATACTTGCGCTTTTCTTCTAAGCTATGTGTTTCTTCTTGTAGTTCTCCAATTCTATTATATAAATTTGATAGTTCTGTCTTATTAAAAAGTACGCAATTTTGAATTTCTTCAATGTCCCCAGAAGGTGATATATGTTGTAATTGATGAAGTTTTAATACAACTGTTACGTCAATATTATTTAATCTTTTTTGCTTTTTTAACTGTTAAAAGTAAAGAGTAATGAAATTTTTAAGTAAGTAAATTTTGAAGTAAGTAAAACGTTTTAAAATACCATAAAATCTTCTAATTCTTGCTTAGAGCTTTTTAAATTATTTTCGACAAATCTCAAATTTTTGTTATAGCTATCCAATTCTTTCTGCAATATTTCTATATCTTTCTGTTTCTCTTTAATCTGAAATTCGCATTCATATCGTCTTTCTCTCATAAAAAATGCATTTTCATATAACTCCTTATCACACCCTGGTGGACATATACTTTCATCTAATGGAATATGTTCTGTTTCTGAATCTATTGTATCATCTGATTCTTCGGAACTAGTTTCAGATGATTGTGTAAATGTATCTGAAGAACCTAAAATTATAATTGAATCAGTAAATTCAGTTAATTAATAGAAATTATTAGTAATGAAAACTAAAAATTAAAAGAGAATTTACTACCATCACGTTCTTTTACAGGAGTATATTTCTTTCTAAATATTTTATGAAGGAAATCTTGGAATTTGTTTTCAATTATGGTTTTAGCAAATTCAACTGTAATATCTTTAATTTTTAGATGTAATTTTCGAATCTCTTCTTCTTTTGCTGCAATGTTAACGTTTGTGGTTTGTATCTGTAAAAATTAAATCAATTAATAATTGACATCAATTAATTGCTGTTTTTATATCTGTGATGATAATAACTTGTAGCTTTATTGTGGAAAACTCATTTGATCTTTCTTCAACTTTTTTTTCAAGTGCATACTCAGTTTCTTCACATTCTTTTAAAATGATAAATTCTTCATAAAGTGTTAGTAAGTGTAGGTTCATATATATGCTTTGGTATATAACATCGAGTCTGTATTCTTCTAATTCAGCTAGTTCATCCTCCAGTTCTTTATAGCTGATGTTAATAGAGCGCAAAATACAATCCTGTTCATATAACTTTCGCCACATTCGAGAACGTTTCATTTCTCGTTCCCATGTAGTTTGAGTGGACTCAGTTGTGCTGAGATGATAAATTAAATCCATATGTGTAGATGAGTGATCTTTTATTTTTAGTTTCGAAGAGGAAAGAAGAGTGGTGAGACTCTCTGTTTCTTCGACAAACATTTTTTTACTACCACAATACAATACTTCATGTTCTAAATCAAAAGGATCCATTGAGTGATCTGCAATTGACTGTCTTTGCTGTTTTACTTGCTCCATTTTTTCTGACATTGACATGTATCTTTCAAGCTGTAATAATATTATTTCAAAAATAATTTTTTATCCTTCACTTGTAAGAATTTAAAACTGACCTCAAGGTTCAATTCAGGAAATTCAATATTAAAATTTATTTTTGGTGGATGTGGTAAAGGTTTTATACTTTTTGGTGGAAGTTCCATATGAATTTTTTTAAGAGTCTCAGACAATGCCGTAACTTCTTTTTGCAATTTTTGCTTTTGTGATCGAGCATTTTTTAATCTTGTATTGAAATCATCTCGCAAATGATGAAGCTGTAAAAAATAATTACCGTAAAAGTTATTACAATATTTGAATATATAAATTCTGTATTTAACGTACCTTACGTCTGCAATCTAAAAGTTGTTTATATTTTTCAACTGCTGTTTCTTTTTTTTTCTTTAAATTGAAACCTGTATCGGTCTTTAAATTAAATTCACCAATAGTTTCTTTTGCTTTTTCAAGAAAAGCTGCATCTTCCAATGAACTCTTTGCTAAATCTGGTTTTTTTGCATATAACTTTTTCCACTGTAAATGATATTTTTTTACATTGTGTGTACATCGTGAGAAAGAATGAACTTACTTCTTTTTGTCTTTCCATCAATTTTCGTTTTATTTCTTTGTATTTCGTTAATATTTGCTTTATTTGCAAACCCAATCCAGATGACAAATCACTATAATCTTCAGCTAAAAGAATCTCTATGTCCTGCAGTTCCTCTTCCTGTGACTCATATTTTTCCATCTCAATCTCTTCTTGCGTTAATCTACAATTGTATAATATATAAATATATATAAAAAGAATCAAAAAGAAAAATAGAGAGCATAGCAAAGAGATTTTATTAGTAAGACAACATACGAAAATGTTTTTCTCTGTAATATATTGCTATCCAACTTTTGATGTAAGTCTTGAGACATAATTGTCAATTATTGAGTTTGGGACAAAATTTATATAAAAGGAAAATAAGAATACCTGCCTGTTCTTTGTTCCTTTTCATCTTGCTTCATTTTTTCGAAGCATCTCAAAATATTCTCAATATTCAATTTTAGTTCTCGTAAAGAATGCACTTTTTTATCTTCATTTCTGTTTTCAAATTTTATCATATATTTTTAGTTAAATGCAATTTAATATATTTTACAAAAGGAAGAAGAATAACTTACAGTATACTGCAAACTGCAAAAGGTAAACAAGTAATGGGCATAACAAAATGATTCATAAGTTTTTGTAATTGTAGTTTACTTTTCTCCACTTGAAATTCTAACTTTGCTATTGTTAAAGTTATATTAGCTTTTAAATGTTGTCTTAAATCTTCTGTTATTCTAGGGTCTAATTCGAACTGTACTATTTGCTGCGATGGTAGAAGATTTTTATTTCTAGTATTAAAAAAGGAATATTATAATTAATTACTATTATTTACAGAAAAAGTATGTACTTATCGATATTTATTTTTCTTATCAATATATTGTACCGAATAGTAATTGCAACATATTCTTCACTTAAATCACGTATAATTTGAAGAATTTCTTTCTTTTTCTTTTCTGCAAGAGAAAGAATTCGATTTTGCTCTTTTTGTGTAATTACTTGTTCCAAACTTGGATGCTCAGCATCTTCAATATCTTCGATACTCTTAGGCTATATTTATATAAATAATATTAATTATTTTATTGAATTTATTCGGTTTGAAAATATTAATTAAAAAGCTATCTTACCAAATGAGTAGGCTGTTCTGGTATTGGTATTTCAATACTTTCGTCAGATATGTCATCATTAATGATAAAAGAAAATATGTTTCCATCATGACCACACGTTAACAACATCTTTTTATCGTAACCAAATGAAATTTTAGACATAAGTCCATTATAATAATCGTGTACCGGCAAAATCCAATAATCTGAAAAATCTAGCGGGTCTTCTTTATTTATTTTACAAATATAAAGCTCCCCATACTGTGTTGCCAAAATTAAATACTCCTTGTTTTTGCTGAAAGAAGTATTTCTGTTATTTTATATATTTTTTTGTTTTTCTCTTTCAAGTACATTCACATTGTCATACTAATAAAGAAACTTATGGATTTCTGTATCCATTGCGTTTTCAATTATTCTGCTTATAGACGGTTTATTTTGTTTTATTTTTACACATAGTGGACGTGGATATTCATAAACATATCCTGCATCGAAACCAGCCATAAATAACCATATGTTCCCATTAATACCATATTCTGCTACCAAAACTCTATTTGGAATTTCTGGAATATAAAGTTCTGGGAGAATCATCTCTTCTTCTTCAATTTCCACTGAAAAATAAATTTTAATAATTAACTTTAAATTTCGACTTATGAAACAGATTTAAAAATAAATTATTACTGAGAAATGCTTCTTCATCAATTACAATATGTGGATTCTCTCTCATTAGTTGTTCCATTTCTTTCCTCTTTTCCTCAATTTTTTTCTCTCTTCGTTGTTCATATTCTTTTCTAACAATTTCTCTGTGTATTGAAGATTTAACTGATTCAAATTTGAATGCCATGGAATTACAATGGAGTTCATACGTTGTAGTTGTATATAATTGAGGTATTGTATGTAATTGAATTTCTACACAATGCCCTTTTAAACATCCAACTAATAAAGTTGCTTCCTATTTAAAATAAATTAAAACAGTTATTTTTATTGTACTCCTTTAATATAAAATTATAATGTCTGTACTTACTTCTTGTAGATTCCATGTCATACAAGTAACAGGTGATGGTACTTTTACGTAACCAATAGGTTCAATTTTAGGATAAGTATCTGTAGAACGGATACAAAATGCAAAAATTGTAGCATCACTACTGCCTGTTACCAATACACTGAAAATAAATTATTTGTATTGGTGACAATATACTTGTACAATTTATATAGAACATACCTACAAGTTGTATTTAAAGACATTACAGTAATTGGCTTTGAATGTGGTTTCAAAACTTCAATTAGTCTTGTTTTATCTCCTTTTATGCTACTTTTGGAATTTGGTGTTTGCATCGATATCGTAATCATTCTAATAATACCACTTTCAAAAGCACATACAAGTGTTAAACCCGTTTTTTCAATCTAAACATTATTATGAGATAATATGTGTTTTAATCTTTTGGATACAAATAGAGATATTTACCTTACACGGAAACCAAATTACTTGGCTTCCAATGTCATGAAATTTATGAATAAAACTTAATTTCTTTTCAATATAATTATAAATATGTAAATTGCCATTTCTATCAAGGGTAGCTACAAAAGGTCCCCAATCTGCTGTGTCCATATCGACTATGGAACCGGCATGACATGTGAAAATTTTTCTTTGTGTATGTTCTTTTTTACTAGTACAAAGATCGAGCAACCATAATCCTCCATTCCCATCCTACTAAAAATTTCTTTTATTATCAATATTACATTTTTGTATTATTATATTTACCTGGGCATACCAAGTTGTTGCATCTGGATTATTTGACTCTTGTTTGTGAATACACATAAGCATTGCATTTTCTTCTCCACTTGCAATTTCAAATTCATAAATTGGTTGAATTTCAAGAAACCGCTCTTCATCAGAAAGATTAGCATGATCCATTGTTTCATAAAACCAAAATCTGATCCATCCATCTGTACCTATTATATCAAAATCATGCAATATTAGTTTAAATATTTTATTCATTATTTAACATAAATTTATTCTTACCAACTGAAATAATTTCTCCATTAATAAATTCAAATTGAGTAATAGGACCAGCATGTGCTGTCTCTTTACTTTTTCTACGTGCCTCAAGTTTAATTAAACTCTCATCCCATAAAAGAATGTTTCCCCATTCACATCCTGATATTACCTACAAGGTACATATGTTATGTAATGTTTTATACCTATAACAAATTCCTTTAAAAATTTCTTACCGTTTCATTCGGCATGGGATGAATCGCTATAATATCAGAAATCTCTGTATTTCCAAATTTACCTATTTCACCTTTAAGTTTTAATCCAGTAAAAGTCTTGGATATTTTCCAAAATTTAATATGTCCTATTCCACCAGATGTTAAATGCCCCGGTATGTATTTAGAAAAAGTTATTTTATATATATCTTGGACATAAGATTTACATTGTAAAATAATTTGTGATTCTTGCCATTTCCAAATGGAAACATAATAATCAGGTTCACCACCTTGAGATGCCAATAATATTCCATCTTGACTATAATTAAACAATTTTAATCAATAATTTTATTTCAATATAATATTTTTACAGAAGGAAAATTATTTACCTGTATGTCATATACGAATAACATTTAGTTGTTCCTCCTTCTAAAGTGATTGCAGTTTTCATAGAAGGCCAACTATAAATAATAATCAAAGGATTGATTCCATTTAATGCAACAGCAATATGGTCATGAACAGGATTTCTCTATCAAAAAAGAGTTTTTGTGAAAATAATATATTAAATTATTGTTATATAAAATGTATTAATTCAAAAGAGATTCTAATATCAATTGAAAAAACAAATACTCACTGATAGATGACCAATACCTTGACCTAAAGATGCTTTTTTAAACCAAATTTTATTTTCTACTATGTTGAAAATCTGAATCAAATTACCAGCAGCAAAGGCAACATTATTAATATCAATCCTACAGAGATTGAAGTACTTTCGACAATTATATCCATAGGAATGACTGATAAATATTAAGAAATAATTAGACATTTACATTCTTCAATGCATTGGTTTCTCAATAATTGATATAAAAAAAAAGAGAAAGGTTTAGCGTGACATAATAACAAAGTAAAATAGTGAAGAAATGCAAAGAAACAACATAAAGTTTTTGAGATTGTAGATTATAGACAATTAAATTTTTGTTTCATTATTATATATGAAATATTTGAATATTATATAAAATTAACTTAGACTTAGACTAGAGTTAAAGATCAATTATGTCTACTAATTTACTATAAAGTATTATAAAGTACTGCATTATCATAAAGTAAATAATAAAGAATTAATTACTATTACTCCTATATCAGAAAGAACTCTTACAGAATCTAATTAAAGCAAAGTGATAGATTTTGTTATTAAGGATACAAAAAACTTAATATGTTTTGAGATATAGTTCCATTTTCTGGTTTTCTGACCAGAGATGAATATTCTTCTACAAGAATTGTGTCATCTATTTTAACATTAGTGATGTTTCTGTGATTTTCAAATTTAATTCCACCACCATCAGCCATATTGCTTTAACAAGAGTTTAAAAACTCATAAGAAGAAAAATGTAAATATATTTATATTTAAACGTTTCGATACAGTATATTTTATTTGAAATTATATTGATTTCTTTCAGATAATATTGAAATAAACCAATTTTTTAATTAAATTTCTATTATTTGTTTCATAGATGATCATTCTCATCAGAGGACGAGTTTTTGTTTATTCTGCGCATGTTATCTCTAATTGGTTGGAAAATAATTCGTAACCAAGGGCAACACGCTTGCGTCTTTACGTCATACTTGACGCTAAATGTACATACCTAGTGATCTTTTATTTTGTATGTTGCATCTCGCAAATCATCATTTGCGTATATTTATCCTAAATCATTCACTTTTCCCACCGTGTATATAATCAACTAACTAGTAAGAAACCTATTGAAGTTAGTCAAGTTGCGCGACATATGATGATCTGTCGTTGAACGAGTAACAGATCTTGCAGTGATTATTTTGTGATCTTGATAACCTCGGGGGCGGCAACAAATGTCACTCAATTGTATATATTCTCATTGATTATCAGTTGTCAAGTGCACAAATTCTAATATTGATTTATTATAAGTCAGTTTAACCATGGCAAGTAATTAATTCAATGTTATTAAATCTATTTTATAATTATAAAGGTTATATCATAGTTTTGCACAATTATTTATCAATTAAATGAAAAAAAATAAAAGGGCTTTAATTTGTATCTTATTTAATTGTACAGATTCGCTTCATCCTCATTCAGAATAGAGCTGGAAAAACGAGACTGGCAAAATGGTATATGAATTTTGATGACGATGAGAAACAAAAATTAATAGAAGAAGTTCATGCAGTGGTGACTGTACGAGATGCCAAGCATACTAACTTTGTTGAGGTAAATTTTATATGCTAAGTTTAATTACTGTTATTATATATCCAATGCTTTTGCATTTCAGTTTCGTAACTTCAAGATTGTCTATAGAAGATATGCTGGTTTATATTTTTGCATTTGCGTTGACGTCAATGATAATAATCTGTGTTATTTAGAAGCGATACATAATTTCGTTGAAGTGCTGAATGAATATTTTCATAATGTCTGTGAATTGGACCTTGTCTTTAATTTTTATAAGGTAATATTCAATTTTTAAACATATATCATAATGATTTAAGTTCCTATTAAAAACATAAATTTTTTACAGGTATATACAGTTGTAGATGAAATGTTTCTAGCAGGTGAAATAAGAGAAACTAGTCAAACAAAAGTACTAAAACAACTTTTGATGTTAAATTCATTAGAATAAAAATATTTTACTTAATTTAATTATACTGATTACATGTTATGTACGTTATGAATATATGACAGGTAAATTTAATCATGAACAACAAATTTTATATGTTTATTAATTGATCTGCATTCTAGTGATTTATTGGTGATAAGATATTATAATAATTTGACATATTTCTTGATTTGTTCATAATTATATACTAATACATTTTATTACTTGATATTTTTATATTACTTTATAAGGATTTATTGTTAAATCAATTTAGAAAAATATACCAAACAATTCTAGTATGTTCTGAACAATTTCAAATGTATACCAAGTAATAAATGAGAAATTAAAACACTGTTTACCGATATTAAATCTATTATATATAATATACTTTACTGTTAATTTTCTCAAATATTTTTTCTTCGTAAAGGAGGAAAAAAATTATGGTGTCAGTTATCAATGAATGAATTATTCTGATGTTTTTAATTGGATAATTAAAAGTTGACACATAAAGCTTTTTATTTTGCACTGATTAATAGTTTAACAATAATAGTTTAGGAATAAACTACAATTATTAAAAAAAAAGTGAAAGAATTATTGAAATTGTGATCTTTCTTGATATATACAAATTTTCTCCCAAATATCTCCCTTATAAATTTAAAAATTAGAAATTCAGATATTTTGAAATTTAAGATTTTGGACATCAAAGAATTCAGAAATTTTAAATCAGATTAGTACTATAGATTTTTAAATGTTGGAATTTGGAACTTTCAAATTTTTTAAATAAATTACAAGTGAGTTTCGAAAAGTTACCATTTTCAAAATCACCATTTTAGCTCGTTATATTACTATAATCAAGCAGGTTTACTATACAATGACCTGGCTACAGTTAATACTTTATAATCTCAATAAATAATTGGAACTCTCCTGACGTTTAGTAATGATTCGCATTTAGTTGAAATTTGATAATCGATTAATCGATTAATCGATTGCCGAGATTATCGAAATATACGTGTGACGGAAACTTCATTGAAGTTACAAATCACCTGCATATATACGTATAATTTCAGTGTCATATGTACAACATATTCAACAATTTATTTTTTTCTTGTCATATATAAATATTATTAAAAATAAATTATGTTTAATTTAATAGCCTAAACATCAACTATTAAATGTTTCAACAAAACTGACTATATGTGTTTAATTTGTTTGTATTTACAACTTGAAGATAAGAGTGTTATCAGAACTTTATGTAAAATAACGGTGTAGATTTCTGAAAAATATTTTTGTAACTTATGTGAAAAGGACGATCAAATACCTGGTAAAACAGATGATGATACACAGAAGTTTTTTACTACAATGGATCTTGGTGGCAGTATTCATAGTCACAATAATTTATTTAAAAATAAAATTGAACTTTCTGGAGGATCACTACAAATTATTGCGTATGCGTTATAATAAACAAATTATTTTATCGATTTATGTTACCATAAGCTTCATCCTTTTAATATTTTGTTCTGTTGAAGGTGATGGAATAACATAGGTATCCTATCGTACTTGCAGACAATGCCATCACACAAGAACAAAACAGTATTCAAAGCGGACTTGAAGTCAACGAGCGCTCTTACAAATCAACGTTCAATGAAATCATCATTATCTACAACAGGGTACCAAAAACAGCATCAACCAGCTTTGTAGGTTTAGTCTACGATCTGTGCAAACAGAACAAATACCATGTGTTACATATTAACGTTACCAATAATATGCACACTCTTACACTTGCTAATCAGGTAATTTTACATTTCTTATCATTTTTCTTTCCATTCTTATTTTGTTCTTAATTTGTGTAAAAATGTTATAGATTCAGTTTGTAAATAATGTAACTGGATGGAATGCAAAAAAGCCAGCATTTTATCATGGACATATTGCATTCTTAGACTTTGAGAAGTAAGTAAACTAAAGTGTTTGTTATGCAAATAATATGATTTGAATGCATGATTTTAGATTTGGTGTCCAACAAACGCCTTTGTACATAAATCTTCTACGTAAACCTTTAGATAGATTTGTTTCTTATTACTATTTTCTGAGGTATGGAGATAATTTCAGACCACATTTAATTAGAAAGAAGCACGGTGATACTAAGGTCTGTATGCTATAGTTATAATATACATTCGGTATAGTGATAATACTTGATTTTGAAATTTTTTAGACTTTTGATGAATGTATCGATGCTGGACAACCAGATTGTGATCCCGATAATATGTGGCTACAAATACCGTTTTTATGTGGTCATGATCCTGCATGCTGGTAAAATAAAGACAAAAAATAATTAAAGTATAAATTAGAACATAGTTTGAATTATTTTGTAATAAATAATTATTATGCAACAGGGAAATTGGGAATAGTTGGGCATTAGAAGAAGCAAAAAGAAATTTACAGAAACATTATCTTTTGGTAGGAGTAACAGAGGAATTAACAGAATTTGTAGAAACGTTGCAGATTGTGCTTCCACGATTTTTTAAAGGGGCCTATAATTCTTTTTTACACAGTAAGACGGAAAGAAAACAATTTAAACGTTAAAGTTTCAAAATATTAATGGTTTATTTAATTTCAGGCAATAAATCACATTTACGCCAAACTACACAAAAAATTAATCCACGACCTGAAACAATAGAGAAGATTCAAAAGTCTGTCGTTTGGAAAATGGAAAATGAATTATATAATTTTGCTTTAATGCATTTCCATGCAGTGAAAAAACGTCTTATAAATGCTTCACCTCAAGATATAAATCAGCGGTTTATGTATGAAAAAATACGTCCAAAATAAATTATCTTTGTTAAATAAGTTTTTCAAACTGTTTTTTTATAAAATTGAACAAAGCTCAAATTTGTAATACAGAAAATTACAATTTACAAAATATACAAATTACAAAATAATTTATTCAATATGTTATTATTTATTACAAGTTCAAGATTTATTAATGGGTTTTAAAGCAAACATATAAACTGGATATAATCCACGTGGAAATTTATGTTGTTGTTCTTCTTTGATACAAATTAAATCAGATTCCTGAAAGATGCTATGAAATTCAGACAGAGGTCGTGTCACAGATGAATCCTTTGTATCAATTTCTAATTTTGCAGAAGTTGTTACATTTTCTTTAATTATGATCAAACCATTAGATCTTAGTCCAGTCCTGTATAAAAATTGTGCTCAATAATAAATGTTTATAGTTAATAACAGCAAATATGTACTTACGAACACCTCTTTAGGAATTCTATTAAGTGATCCTTCTTTAAATGACCCAAAACCCACTGACACCAAATAACATCATACTTCTTGGTTGTAAAGTCAAAATTTTGCAGTCCTTGAAATGTGACTTGATTAATTCAATATTTTTTGTATGGCTAATAAACCAATGGAACATTACCAATAGAATAATAGTTGCCAATTCTTGTAGAATAATTTTGCAAACATGTTTTAGCAACTTCTAGAAATTTCGGATTTTGTTCCACTAAATCAATGTATTTAAAATGATTTAATAATAAATTCTTTGTTATCCTTCCTATGCCAGCACCACAATCTAATGCAAATGTTCTCGATGGTGAAGTTTTTAACTGAAACAGATAAAGTTTCATTGATAAAATATACTTTGAAAGATATTAATTAACAATCACTTTTAAGTATCTAAAAGGTAATGATTACAACACATACTTCAAATAAAGATTTCAAAAATTTTGTGGAACCCTTTATATCAATTTGAGAAATAAATCCAAAACCACCAAGCATTCCATCCACTGTAGGTGGAATATGTTCCCAATATTCAGCAGCCGCGGTATAAAATTCATTTTGTTCAACTATATTTTCTTCTTTTTCCATCTTTAACAATGTCATTACATCCTACTAATTCAAGAATGATCAATCAAATCGAATAAGTCACATGTCTTAATAAATTAATTTTTAAATAAATTAAAGAAAGATTAATTATTAGAAAATTTACCAATTTACAAAAAATTGAAAATTAGCAATTGTTCAACTGAAATAAATAATAACACATTTTACATTTTATCATCGATACCAATCGATATACAATAAGATATCGACCTATCGTTTGTTTTATTTAATCGAAATATCGAAAAGAAATCGATTATTCATAAAAATCAGTAGTCAGTACTTCGTTCAAGGAAAGATCATGCTTAAAAAGTTAGATTACAGTGCGGCTAATTTCAGTAGGCTCCTCACCCAGTTAGTGTCATCCTACTACTATACCCTTATCACTTCGACGGCCATATATATGGTGGATAAAAATATGTATAAAAAGAGAAGAAATGATAATATAGAATAAGGTTATTAAATGGTAGTTCGTGTGTCACATTCAAGTATCATCAGATTGTTAAAAACTTCCTAATTTCTAAATTTTTTAATTGTTTATGATATGGATGTGTCTGGAGGATGATGTAGTAGGTAATTGTGTAGGTTAATCGAGCGTAAATTTCAATTGTTAATAATAATAATAACTCTGCAGTCTGAATTAAAATTGGAAAAGGAACTTTTAAAATCAAATTCCACTTTTACTTATGCGATATACCCTGTATGCAAGTATGGTTATGTCTCATACACGTAAACTAGATAAAAGACCACTGGGTATATGCAGTCACGTTACGAAAATCGCAAGAGCGCATGCGCGTTGTTCATAGTTACGAATTACTAACCGTGCTCGAACCAATCAGAGCTAACATGCGTAGAATGAATAAAAACTCGTCGGCTGATGAGTATGATTTTCCGAGGGCCGATAATAAATTTTAAAGACATTTTACCACAAGGAAATATTATGTATAAAATAGCTTTTATTTATTTATGGCACAAAAATTTAAACGTACAATTTTTAAGTAAACATTACATGGCATATAATTAAAATACATGGTATATAAGAATTGTACTTACTCGTCGGTTTGGTTAGAATAAAATCGATGTTAGTAGTTGGCAAGCAGTTCCGTTAGAATCATGGCAGAAGTACGCCTATATGATTCAACGATTTGTCGATTATGTGCTGAAGATAATGGAAATGGAGAATTACTTTACATGGGAGACGGCGATGATCCAGATTTGAGTTCCATGGTCAATCGGTACTTGCCACTCAAGGTATGAATCTTCAAAATATTAGACTTTAACTTGACTTCCTACTTTGTACACAAATACTACCTGACTCAAATGTTTGATGTTTCCTCCTAATGATACATGTTATATTATTTATTTTGTTTATAATAAGAAACTTCGTTATGTTATAACCAAACTTTTCATGACTGAAAAATTTCTAACTTCATTGGATATTTGAAAAGTAATACGCTAATTATCTTGATACATAATTAATATTAAATATTTTTATATCAGTAAGTATTAATTATTATAGTGGTATGCACATACAGTCCTTGTTTTCAATATCAATATTTTATTTAAGATAAATTTTGGTTTAAAATTTTTGATTTTCAGGTTTTTAACATAATCTCATGTATTATAAGAATAATGAAAACAATAGACATAATAATTATTGGTTTTATTCAGAGGTTATGACTCCAAAATTGATATGAAATATATTTCAATTTTAGATTCGAGACGATGGCAAGTTACCACGTACTATATGCCCTGGTTGCAACATACAACTGGAAGCAACAATACAGTTCTTCGAGTTATTGGTGGATGGTCAAAGAAAAATTCGTGAGATGTGGAAGCATCAAGTAGAACAGCAACGTAAAGCTGAACGAGAAAGACTTCGTGCAGAGAAAGAAACAGATGTCATGGCAGAAACATCAGAATTAGATTATGTTTCACGATCAAACGATGAAGATCAGTTTGAACAACAAATTATAATAAAAAGTAATATTTCATATGTGATTTATTTAATATATTTGCAACTATATTATTCATACAATTATAATCAATCGTATATATTATTCCAAATTCTTTTATGTACATAATTAGAAGTGATTATTTTAATTGTAGAAATTATACAAAAAGAGATTATTAATCAAGTCTTTTCTCAACAGTAATGCCAGATGGTTCTATGTATGCAGCAGAACATGAAATGAGTTTGCAAATGGAGGGATTAAATAAACCAAAACGAAAAAGAGGACGCCCACCAAAATCACATACAGAAAATATGTCCGTGGTTAGTGTGAATAACTGTTTTTTAAATTAGCATAGTTATATGAATTCCTAAAATATTAAATTTTAGGAATTATCAAAAGGAGAAGTAATAGAAGGAATTAGTCAAGAAGAAGAAGATAAACAGGAAGAAGAAATGGATGAAATTGATGGAGATGGTAGACGTCGCAGGAAACGTAAGGTCCCCAAAAGGTATTCCTTTAAAATAAAAGCAGTTCAAATTATTTACCACGACTTTTATAATACGTGTATTTATAATAGTATGGAATAACTTAGATATATGGAGGCAGTTCAAGGCAAAGAATTAGAAAGAATATACAAAGAAGAAGGAGTAATTGATGAAGAAGATGATGATGAACCTGATACTTTTGAAGATTCTGAAGAGCAGTTGAATATCTCTGTCCCTGATAGTCAAGAGGGTAAATGTCGTAGAATATTGTATCGAATTGAAAAGACGTATTTAATATTTATTTCAAGAATCATTTGTATATTTTAGAAATAATTGGGCATTTAGAATCTGAAGAAGGAAAGGATCTAGGAGAATTGGTGATAGTAAATCGAGGTAGAGGCAGGGGTCGACCGAAATTACGTCGTAGAAAAAATAAATTTACATGTCAGTTATGTGGTCGGGGATTTTTACAACGCAGCAGATATATCGTACACAAGTAAATAAATGATTTTGTTTAACCCTTCAGACTCGATGCTTGTGTATCATATTGATCCACTTGTTTTGATGCTTTCATGCTCAAGTTCTAACTAAATAAACCAAAGTAAAATTGAAATTAGATTTCCTTTGAAAATTTATAATAATATTGAATAATTGAAATGATACATACCTGGTGTATAAGAAAAAAAAAATGAAATTTTGCATCGTACCTGAGGGGTTAATTATTCATATTGCATGATTTCAATAAAAATAATTTAACTATTTTCGAAAATTAGGAGTTTTCATAAAGGAATAAGATATGAGTGCTCAGAATGTAAAAAATTATTTACAAATAAGGAAAATTTAGAATTGCATCAAAAAACGACACATCATACTGGAAACGGTGTATATCAAAATTTAGAACATATTCAAGAATCAGATGTCGAATCGAAACGTCAAGTTCCTGAAGAAGATCAAGTTTCTAATGTATTGGAACCTACTTTGTCGGAAGAACAGGATATGAGCAAATTTTCAAACAATTCTGATTCTCAGAAAAGTTTTTCGTGCGAACAATGTGATAAATTATTTGAAACAAAGCAGGCTTATGATTTACATTTGAAAATGGCTCACGAACGTGATAAACTATTTGTTTGTACCATTTGTAGTAAGAGTTTCTCTCAACAAACAGCTTTAAAAGCTCATATGTCTATACACGAGGTAAATAAATGAAAATACTTAAGTGAACTTCAAAATTATTGAAGTAAATAAAATGAAAACGGTATTAGATGACTTTTATTATCTTTTAGAAGCAGAAATTAGAAAAAGAATATCCTTGTGACATTTGTGGAAAAATACTTAATCATCCAAGTTCCGTGGTATATCATAAGGAAGCAGAGCACAATAATGGACGACGATTTGTTTGTAACAAGTGTGGAAAGAGTTTTAAGCACAAACAGTTATTACAACGTCATCAGCTTGTACACTCAGACGATCGACCATACATCTGTAAATCTTGCAATGCGAGTTTCAAAACAAAAGCAAATTTAATTAATCATCAATCGACACATACTGGCGAAAAGAAATACTTCTGTGAAATTTGTGGACAACAGTTTGCACATAAAACTAGTCTTACACTTCATTACAGGTTGTTATAAGAACATGATAATCAGTCTGAATGAATTCGATTAAAAAGTACATAACTAAGTGAATAATTTGATATCTAGGTGGCATACGGGTCATAAACCATACACGTGTGAGGTATGTCATAAGAGTTTTTCACAAAATGGAAATTTGCAAGAACACATGCGGATACATACAGGAGAGAAACCTTATTGTTGCGATTATTGTGGAAGAAAATTTACTACCTCTTCACAATTCAAACTTCACGTTAAGCGACATACTGGCGAACGTCCTTGGAAATGTGAATTCTGCGCAAAATGTTTCTTGCATAAAGATACATGGAAATGCCACGTGCGTAGACATAAAGGAGAACGTCCCTTTCAATGTGCTCATTGTAATCGTGGTTTTACAGAACAATGGGCTTTAAAGAAACATCTTCGTTTGCATACAGGTATCATTTTCATGGATTTTCAGTAATGTACATACACTATGTGTATATTTAAAATGGTAATGATATTTAAAACTTATTATTTGTTAGGTGAAAAACCCTACTCCTGTGATGTTTGTGGAAAAACATTTGCAGATTGTTCGAATTTAACAAAACATAAAAAAGTAAGAATTTAAGTCCTCTTAACAAAAATTCTGTCGTTTTAAGAAAATACAATAATATGAAATTATTATTGAGCTGTTTTTAGGTACACAGAGAAACAAAAGTTTCTGCAATAGGTGAAATAGAAGGATCTCCCATTGGTGAAGTTTGGCAGATTTTACCAAGTTCTCAGGAATCTGATGAACATTCTTTAACTGATCAAATGGCTCAAGTCATTACAACAGATGATACATCTGGAGATGGTATTCAACAAATTATTTATGTATCGTATCAAGATCCAGATGATCCTAATCAATCCCGGACGTTACATTTTGGTAAAACTAGTCATCTATATTGTATGAGATTTTACAGAATTATTAATGATCACATAATATTCGAATTGATGGTTTTGATATAGTTGATGCTGGAATAATGAGAAACAAGGAAGAGAAAACAAATACAAATGAAGCATTGTCACATTTAAATGTTGAAAATAATGAAATACTTTCTGAATCGGCTCATACTAATGGGAATAATAATTCAACTGACCGAATAAACGTTGAATTGTCAGAATCAGACCTTCAGCTTCAGGTAAAGATAAATGACGTGTCTAAAAATTGAGAAGGATTATTGTGTGTAGAATATGAATATAGAAATGAAACAATAATATTATTTATAGATTACAGATGAAGAAGGTAATCCAATTCCTCTTTCGATTCAAGATGCTCGACAGCTTTTATCTCAAAGTCAGTTTGTTAATCAACTTAACGATGGGCAAGAAATTCGAATTCATCCCGGAACAATTCCTGATGACTTAGCAACACCATTAGGAATGCATGTTAATCAGAATTCCGATGCGAAAGATGTTGACATCTCTAATGCAATTGAACCAAAAGTGAAAAATATTTCAACTATACAAACAGATGCAGAAGCAATTGTAAAGACATTGGAGGTAATGTTTTAAACATGTGAATGCTTAGTATTTTTAGTTACTTAACTCATTTTAGTTATTACTAGATTTAAACAAATATAGTAAAACAATCAAATTATATTCAATAATAATTCTTTATTTTTAAAGTATGATTATAAAAAGGTCGTATTATTTATTTCTAAAAGTCTTTTAACTCTTTACAATAGAAGGCATGATATGTCCATTCCATTAAATCTTATCATTAATATGGATTATTTTATGTAATAAAATAATCTATTGTCTTAATACATCATGTAATTTTAATTTAACAATCTAATAGGATGAAGATACGGATGTAAATGCAGTCGCAACTATCAATCAAATGGAAGAATCTGAACAACCGGGGATCACCGACAATGAACAAGCAATTGAATTTACAACACAGGATGGTCAGAAAGTTCGTTTAGTTGCTTCTTATCACGTTGATCCAATGCACCTTGCTTCCGAGTACCTGACTATTGTATAAAATTCTGAAATTATAAATTTATATAAATATTTTTTTTTAATTTTATGTACTAGTTTACTAAAGCATAATTATTCTTTTATATTAAATTAAGTTTTTTTTTCTTATCTTATTTTCATGCGATAATTTAAGAAATATATCTTAATTTTTTCAAATAATAGGAACTCGTAGCAATTCATGAAAAATGAATTATATTAGGAAACAGAAATTTGATATATGTTGTGTATATGCGTACGCGTGTGCATATATGTACATATACACGTATAATAAAATACTAAAATATTTATTATTTTGAACTATAATTTTTAATGCGTTTAAAAACTGTACAAAATAATTACTTACTAGATATATTTACGAATTCTTATTTATTAATGTATCTAAGTTAAATCCATTGATATCTGAGAAACCAGCAGTTTTGCAGAGTTGATACATTTGATGTAAATGTTTAGGATTTTCAATGGCATGATCTTTATTCAGTAAATCTGCTCTTAGGGAAGAACCAACCAAATCTTTATATCCAATTATTTTTGTTCCAACTTCCAAAGTGTTCACCCATATTGTGTTTCCCAGATGTAAATTTACCTGTTTATTTAATATTTATTATGGATTACTTGTGAAATTTACAAAGACAAGTGAAAAATATTTAGTTTACCGTTCCAATTACATAAGATTTTTCATCAATATTTTCTTTGAACCATTCATACACCGCATCAATTGCACAATTATTCCATACATATTCGTCATCATGTGGAGTTATACCAACCAAAAATACTTCCATTACTTGTACCGGATATTCTACGAGCTTTTCTGGCATGTGTAGTAATCTGTATACCTAATATAAAAGAAAAATATATTATGAATGTATTGTATTATTTTTACGTTTATTATTCATTAGCAAGGAGAAATCACAGCTGTAAGAAATGTCGATTGTAATGAAACTTTTCTTAGCGAATCTAAAGTAAATTAAAGTACACTAATCTTCGGTTTTATAAGATTGACATTTAGTTAGTTCTTCACGTATATTGGTACAAAACTTGTAGCAGATTTGTACTCTGAAGTTCATAAGTTCAAATATCTCTTCTTCTCTTTTTTTTATTTGGTTAATGTGTTTCTTTTGTTCCTAAAATATTATTTTATACCTTTGCAAATATAATATAGTTATAGGACATAAAATAACATTAATAAGCTGTTTATTTTAATTGTCTTGTTTAAATAAAATGTTTGATTAAAATAGCCAATCTCACAGTTGTGATCTCTTCCAATAAGTATATACATATTTGAAAACTTACATGCACTTTTGTCAAAATTACTCCATTATCAACGCATCTTACATCTACGAATTCAGGAGTTTCTGTTTCACCATCGTTTTCAATGTTTAGTACTTCAACTCTTTTAAAATTGTCTACTGGTTCTTCTAAACCATACATACGTCCCAGCTCTATTGTATCACATCTTCTTCTACAATAATATATAAGTATATATTAATATAACTTCAAAAATGTAACACAAACATTATAAGATAATTCACTTTTTTTCTACAAAACTCTGTTAATGTATTAACCTGTTTTCTACACATGAATAAAATTCTTGAATCTTCATAGTTATTTGTATATATTCTACATTAGAAAATTCTATTTCCTCTAGTGTGTCAGATTTAATATACGATATAACCCTGGCAGAAATATGTGTTACATCATGTATACTTATTACTCTGAATTTCACCCGATCCTTTCTAAAATGATAAAACATTTATTAATTTATAATTACTATCTAATATATGAATAACAACTTTTACTAACATTTGAATATTGGTGATCGGTGCATCAATTTCTGGAACTAATCTGTGTCTGAATATACAAGAATACTGTTTATCACAAAATCCCCAAGATTTTATGTTATTGCAGATAGGATAGTTTTCTTTCTTCTTTTCTAAAGCAGCCGTTATGAACTAAAAAAGTACTTAAAATATGTAACATTTTTTTTTAAATAAATTTCATTCCATATATGCATTCTTTTTATTTTTCTCAGTACCTCAATATTTTGTAATATATTTTGAGGAATTGAAACGTTCATACGTTGCAGTATTTTCATTATACTTATAAACTGCATGTCACTATTATCATCCACTATAATAGTTACTTTACAGTTACAGTGTTCCTTAAATGTTTTACAAAATTAATTGATTTTTATGAAATTATTTTAAATATTATGAATGTGAAATAATATACCATTTGTAAATTTTCAAACAGCATTGAAAATCGATAATTAAATTGAGTTTTGGAACGTAAAGATATTGAATAATGTATTAGCCAAGTTACATTTGTAATACTTATATCTGATAAAATATCATCTGTACATATCAGAATCGGATAGGAACCATGTACGCACGTATTCCAGCATCGTGCGATATCTGAATGAAATAAAGAACAATACATATAACATATTGTTTAGACATTTAAGACATAAATATAATTTCATTTTTACATATTTTATACTTTGTAAATGCAGGAAGTTCATCTCTGCATGTAGTAAAAGAGCATCTTTATAATTAGATAAGAATTTATGTAAACTTTCAGCCTCCTCAGTACTTGCGCAAACTATTGCGGTTCTTGATGAAGAACACTTATTATTATTTAATATATCTGTAATAAAATGGTCTTATATTATATAATTGCATTAGATAATTGAAATTTCTTAAATAATTGGAATTCACCTAAAAGTTTTTCGTTTTTACTCTTTGATTTCATTACATAAACCTTAGGACATATAGATTTGAAAACAGTAGCTTCAATGAAAGATGTTATACATATATATGGATTATTCATTAAAATGTATGCAACTCTTTTTATGCATGGTGTCCAATGTCTTGCAGTTACTATGATTTGTAACATCATTTCGTCATATTTTACTTCTCTATTACAAATGATATTATGCTTTTTAAATAATTTACTAATCTAAAAGTAATTGTTTATTACAGTTTCAATATATAAAATAACAAATGATAAGAAGGGATGTAAACGGCACTTACAGAATCAAAGTATTTGTCCAAAATAACATCACCACCATCCAAAACTAAATGTTGAAGATTTTTGAAATTTAATAATTTTCTGTTTTGATCAATAAAACGTGCTAAAAACCTTGGTGTAGAAACCAAAATGTTACAGCCATTATACATTTCAGCCTAAAAATATGTAAAAAATAGAATTTTAGAATCTTTTAGAATTTAAAAGTACATATATTTATATATTTTAGAAATATTTTAAAAATCTACCTACCACCAACGATCTCTCCGATTTACCATTAATTGCAGCCACACATTTTATTTTTTTATAACTTTGCAGTAATTCTCTACACAAGTAATATACTTCTAATACTTCAGATGAAGAAGAACATAATACTAGTGCAGATGGATTTACTCCTTGAGGAAGCTGTAAAATTCCATAACATATAATTTCTTTAAATCATATTAGTTACTAATAATTTATATTTTTAGTTAAATACAATTATAATATTGATATAATAATTATCTCAAATATTTTGAATATATACAGAAAAATAAAATATAAAAAACCTAACATATTATATAGTTACATATATTTTAATAAAAACATATTTTTATATTTTTTAAAACAAATAAAAAAATTGACTAGTAATAACATTAACATTGTGTAATTATTGATGCTATTAAAAAAAGTTAATTACTGTTACTCAAATGCTCTTACATCTGAATTCATTGCTAATAGCCCACACAATGCAAATCCATATCCAAAAGTCTTGCCAGATTTTGCTATTCCAACAGCTATAACATCTAAACCTTTTTTTATAGCAGGCCATATATATGATTGAATTTTTCTTGGTCTAGATGATTTCACTATTGATTGCCAAGCCTTAAAAATATAGTTTAATTTATTTTTCTTAAATTTTAAATATTTTATTCCAAAAATATACCTTATGTATTTCAGTAGGAAATTTTGCATCTAAAGTGGAAGTCAAGCATTCACACTTAATTTGTGTACAAATTAATACTTTCTCTTGATCTCTTTTAGTTTCACTGCATATATGTTTCTTTTTTGGAAACTTTGTAACTCCATTTAAATAACTGTCAATGAAAGAAAATTAATTAAAAAAATAAACAAATTTAATGAGTTATTTACATTTTTAAACAAACCTGCTTTTCTGTTTCTCAAGTTTATCACAGGTTTTATACTCTTTCCTACTATTTATATAAAATACAGTTTCAGAATTAACTAGTTTCTTGTCTAAATTTTCATAACTCTCAGGGTTTTTTATAAGCTTCAGCAAATCTGTATAGAAATAAAATATTAAATATTGGACAAATTCTCAATATTATTAAATGTTAATAATAATAAAATATTTATATTTTACCGCTTCCTATATAAATAGCGTAATTGTTACAAATTAAAGCCTTGGTTAAGCACACTATATTATTTTCAATATTAAGGTATAGTTCACCATACTGTCTACCACACTGGTCAGACACTAAATGATCAAAATAAATTGCAGTGGATACACTTATTAATTCTTTTACATACTGAGTGGCTGAAATGGTCCAGTCCTCTAAAACGCTTTAGACACATATAAAATAAATATACTTTGCTTTTTATATGTACAATTCGTATTAATGAATTTCAATTGAATCATACGTTAATATATCTTCATTCATTGATGAATCATTTTTAATAGCAGCAGGTAAAATATTGTATAAGCCAATAGTAAAACTTAAATATTCTTCTGAGATTAGATCAGATGAATGTACTACAAAGTCTTTTTTATGTAATAAAACAGGAATGCCATAATCAGGTAAAAAGACATTATATGTATCTTCCAAATTTTCTGCAACACTATATATATATCCTCGACATAACCAGGTATCTAATTTTATATCCAATTTACTACATACTATGACCATCTATAAATATAGCATCGTTCATTATCTATTTTATTTAATTGTAAAAATTACAAAATTCTTTTGTCAATCCATTTGCAATAGTATCAGCCTCATATATATAACACCAACTTGTAAATAATAATAGAATATAGCAGTTGTTTTTATCTAATAACATGCATTTTATATAAATTATAATAAAATATTGCAACAAACTATAAATACAATAATATATTCTTATTGAATTACAGAAAACTACGTTTTATATTCTTTGTTATTTGATCATTATATTTCTAATACATCAAATTCATTGCAAATAGATTAACAAATGCGGATAAGATAACAAATAGTTGATTCATATTAATAAAGTCAAAATGAATAAATAATATCAATAGGTATTAGCAAACTATAAGGTTCATATTTACGATTTTTAAATCTTACATCTCCTAATTTTGGTTCTATAGGTACTGTATTGTTGTTAAGTAGTGCTCCTTTTTTTATTAATAACTTTTTACTAATTGAATGTAATCGCTCTTCATAATTTTTCACTTCATACACTCTTATGATATATGGTGTTAAAATATTTGTTACTTGGATCAATGTGGCTGTAGAAGGTATTGTAGTACCTGTAAATAGTAAGATATAATTAAATTTAATGAAAACAAACATTTCTTTGTAAATGTTCTAAATTGTATAAAAATCAACATATAAATTGCTAGGAGAATTTAACCTTCATTAAATAAACTTTGGTCATCCATTCTTGTTTTTCATTAACAGATACAATGTCATACTAAAGAATGTTACAGTGGTTTACTTCCAATGCCTCGAAACATTTACTTTATATTTCATATAAAATATTTCACTATATGGCTCTTTTGTATGAAGCCTAGGAGAGGAACTACCCCTACCGGTGTAACCTTAGTGTTTGTTTACTTGCACTTCCGTGCAATCTGTTTATATCATTCAATTGTTAGTATGATATAGAGTCTATATTGTAGAATCTATCATCTTGAGAAAATGGCATCTGAAGGAAACAGACATTGTCGAAATTAATAAATAATAAAATTTTCGGAAGTAAATACTTATTTTTAAGAACAAATTGTTTTATTACAATCTTTATAATTAAATTTTATATTCTTAACGGAAATACCGTGGGAATTTAATATGCAAACAAAGTATAAAATTACAATAAACAATAATGTACTATGAAGTAATTAATTTAAAAAGTTGGAAGCATCTTGAAACCTTGATCCTACATGTATCTTAAAATTCATATTTTTGCGCGTGCTGTTTGAAAATGTAGCGGACCAGAACTCTTCTTTACCAACCGGGAATAGCTGTCGTCATAGATTTAAACAATGCGCGCAAAAATGTAAATTTTAAAATGCATAGAGTATGCCACTATTACCGTATACCACTGACTTTTGCATCATTTTTACGTATTAAATTATAGTAGTGTTTCCAGTATGTTAACTTATGTTCCAATGTAATTCCAGAATTACCTTTCATCATCTGTTATTATCTTTCTTGTTTCTAACCATTTTCACAGGAAGGCTAGATTTATCGTGAAGGTACATTATGTGGCATATAGTACAAATGAAATATCTAAATAGTTTTATCCACTTAAGTATAGATAAAATTTATAATACGTTTTATGGTATGTAAACGTCTTCATATAATTTACTCTCACCCTAAAAGTAGTTTCATTGTAAGAGTATCATCTCTGATTATACCTACTCTCTGGTATAACCATAAACATATCAATATACTTATTCATGTAATCCGCGGAGTAACACGTGTTTCTGATTACAATTTTTATTTAGGATTCTAAATTCGGTAATGTTTCAACAGTTTATGTATTTTTGTAAACATTTCGTACGATATCAACATACGAAGAATGATGTAAAAACGATACGTTTAATTGGTGAATATAATAAGATAATAATGAAACAAAAGAAACAGCTTAAACTGCTCAGCAGTATGAATAACAATTCAAAGATACAGGTGATCAACAAAATTGACTGATAACACAAATATTAAGTAAAGAAATTATGAAGTAAATTTAATGAAATAGTGTTTTAAAAATAGGTTGTTGGAAGCGGAGCACCTGGAACACCAGCTTTTATGATGTTTTTTACTGAACAAATTAATTATTTGTTTAATTGTGGTGAAGGAACTCAACGTCTATGTCAAGAACATCGTTGTAGATTATCTAAGATGGATCACATATTTTTAACAAGTCTTAATTGGAAGAATGTGGGGGGACTAGTAGGTTTAATATTAACTGCACAAGATAATGGAGTATCACATGTAAATATTCATGCTCCTGAAGGAATAGAAACCTTTGTAGATACAGTTAAATCATTTATATCTTTAAATAATATGAAAATTTCTTACCCTTCTATCACTACATCAGAACCATTTAAAGATAATATAATGACAATTCATTATGTTCCATTAACAAAATCTTTAAAAGATACTGAGGAAAATATAGATGAAAATCAATATGAATTAAATACAAATGGTAAAAGACTTACAAATAGTGAAACAAGCATGGAAAATTATATCAATACAGGAAAAAGGATAAAAATTGCTCCAGAAGTAGTGTGTTATATTTGTGAAGTTCACCCAAAACGTGGAAAATTATTAATAGATAAATGTTTAGAATATGGTATAGAAGCTGGTCCAGAGAGGAGATTGTTAAAAGACGGAGGAAGCATTACTAAAGAAGATGGAACAGTTATTGAAAGCAAAGATGTTTGTGAACCTGATGGTCCAAAAACTACTTTTATAGGTACATTGACTTATTTCTTTGTATATTAATTCTTAAATTTTATGTTCAAGAAAGGATTTATGATCATATTCATACAATTGGTATCTTTAATGTTTAATATTATAGTAATACTTTATTTGATTAGTTTCTTTAAGTATCAATTGTGTTAATGATTGTTTGTTTTATGTAAAATAATTTAAAGTAAACATTTTGTTTAATAAAAATATAAAGTCTTCATAATATAATTACATATTAAAGTTCTGTATAAAGTGGAAGATTATAGAAACTATTTATTAAGAATTTCATTTAGAAATAAATTTTTTTTACTATTTTCACGAGTTCTATTTTTAGTTATAGAGTGCCCAAATGAAGAATATATAAATTCTCTAGTAAATCACCCTGCTTTTTCAAAATATCAACAACCAATAATAAAAGAAGAAAACGAAATTTGTGCTATATTTCATTTCACTCCGGAAGAAATTTACAATGATGTACGATATCAAAATTGGATAGAAAAATTTCCATTTGAAACAGAACATATAATTTTTAATGAGGACAATACTTGTATGAGTAGTGAAGCTGTTCATAAAAATCAATATTTGTTACATATGTTGCATTCTGAAATATTTCCCTTATTGAGTACGGATTGCTTTAAAGAAAATAAAAAGGTAAGATATTTATAAATGAAAAATGATCAAAAAAGATACTAAATAATGTTAATTGTTTGTACTGAAAATAATCTAACAGAAGTTTTACAGATTTAAATAGTTAAAAATATTTGATTTTAGACAAAAAGTGATTATATTCATCGTGCTAGAGCACTACAAACAATAAAAGTACGTCCAGTACTTGAGGCTTTAGTTACTACTGATATTCATCAAAGACAAAGTGTGTACCTACAAGAACTTTATAAAATTCCTGACATTGAAGACAAGTTAAAGGAATTGAAAATTGCTATTGACGCAAAGAAAGAAGAGCTTAATTTAACTAACACTTCCGATTATCCAAAAATTGTAATGTTAGGTACTGGTTGCAGTGTGCCAAGTAAAGTTAGAAATACAAGTGGTATTCTTTTAAGAATTGATGAAGGTACTAGTATCTTGTTGGATTGTGGAGAAGGTACCCTTGGCCAGATAATTAGGTTTTATGGATATTCAGAATGTGATCAAATTTTACGTACTATTAAGGTAGGTATCTCTAATAAAAATAAGAAAAATAAAGAAAATTTATACATTTTGATATAAGAATTTCATGTAAAATTTTTTTTTCACAGGCGATTTATGTATCTCATATACACGCAGATCATCACTTAGGTCTTATTGGTATATTGTTAAGGAGAAAAAAGTTAACAAATGATAAATTATTTTTACTAGTACCGACGCAAATAATGTCTTGGTTGAATTTCTACAATAATCGATTTCAGTGTATTTCAGACCAATATGCTCTAATCAATAATTATGATTTGTATTTAAACGCCTGTCAATTGTCTACATCTTTCCAACTAACATTATACAAAACATTGAACGTTAAAGATATTAATACTATTTTTGTTAATCACTGTAAATATGCATATGGTATTGCAATTACCCTAAAAGATGATAAAAAGATTGTTTATAGGTAAGATAGAATTATTTAAGAAAATAATTTCACAGTAAATCAAATAATCATTGTTATCGTTTTTATTTTAGCGGTGACACTATGTTTTGTAGAAATCTTATAACATTGGGTCAAAATTGTGATTTATTGATACATGAAGCGACAATGGACGATGGTCGTGAATCTTTGGCAAAACGTAAACTTCATTCAACGACATCTGAAGCGATAAATGCTGGAAAACATATGAATGCAAAATTCACTTTATTAACACATTTTAGTCAACGTTATTCAAAGATTCCTGCTATTCCAGAACAAGGATTAAATGTAGGACTTGCTTACGATTTTATGGAGATTAAATTACCACAACTACCATTGTTACCTCTTTTTTATCCAAGTTTGAAAGTGATGTTTGAGGTGTATAATAAAGTAGAGAATTGAACAACAGACATATACTAATTTGTGAATTTTGTATATCTTAAACAATATAACTTAAACAACAATAACTTAAACAATATTATTTTGTTACTGACTTTGTTATTTGTTTTTATTTAAACAAACGAAAAATTGAAGGTCTAGCATGGATTATATTTGTATGATAAGAGTATTTTTAATTTAGATTACGCTTGTACAATAAAAATATAGTGTTTGAAAAAAAGGATATTAGACAAATTTTACTCAGTAGATCTTTAATAGCAGAATTTATTGTTTATGTAATGCGCTTAATTTATCCCGCTTTCCTCAGTATGATAAATAACATAAATTACAGATAATTTCGTTGAAATAACGATCTTAATATTAATTTCATTTATGTATAAAAAATAGAGAGCAGATAACAAAGTATCGTATAAAAGATAAAAGGCATATCAAAAAATAATTTTTCTCTTCATGTCGAATTAGAAATTTCAATATACTTCAAAAATATTGAAACTCGACAAAAAAGAGAAAAATCTTACAAGCTAATTGATAGATTACATGCTGATAAAATTGGTATATCAAACAGTATAAAATGTGTGCTTTCAATTTTTTTTCTGAGCGGGTTCCGATATAAATTTTCTTTTTCGGAAAAATACCTGTAAGAATGTTTCGACCATTACACAGCTCACGGAATGTAAAATCCTTACGTAGAAAAAGCGTGGTCTCAAATTACATAGATTAATTCGATTATTGCATCAATTTTTTTTTAAAGGCATATACACTAGATAGCAGGTTTACACTAATGACACATTTGTGCGTTTATGTTAGTATATGTCTGAGTAATAAAAAACAACTGTATTTATTGTATGGAATGATTATTTTTATCGACTGAAAACTTACGTTACTTATTGACATACCACGAAATATGCTGTCTAGTGTATGTAGAGTTTTACAGAAATTCAAATATTAGGATTAATACTAATATTAATGCAAAGACTAGAAAACTAAATTCTTTTTAAACACTTAAACGATTGGCTAAATTATTTTTGTTTAATTTTACTTTTTATGTAATTAACACAACTAATTACAGATTATGAAAAATATAAAATAGTTATTTACAAAACTAATAATGACTGTAAATAATTAATATTAGCAATTTCAATTAGAAACATAATATTATTATAATGCTTCAGTGTCACGTAGCAAAAGAATTAGAAAAAGTACATTATTAGTATCTGTATATAATATTACCAATCAGTTAAGTGTTTTAGTTAACTTGAAAAATAAATAATATTCCAAATGAAAAATTGAGTTAAAAGGATAAATCTCAATTTTCTGGTCAAAAAATTCTTCAGTTACTTTGTCTGTAAAAATAATAAGTCAGTATTAAATATTTCTTTAAATTATTAAGAAATGATGTTTTAATTGTTAATTACTCTGTAAACATGTGAGTGATCAGTCTTATACGATATTTTATAAATGGAGAAAGTTACAGTTAGACGTATAAAATTAATTCCACAGTGTACTCCTAATTAAGTACTTGATACGAGCTTTTCCCATACTTGTAAATATCATATTAGATTACATTGAAGCTATAAAAAGGGCAGTAAGTTTTAGCTATGTTCTTTTGAAACTTCAACCTAACATAAGTCTTATATTTTAATTTTTTTCATCTGTCATGTTAAATAAAATATACGCAAAAGAAGATGAAACTTAAAAACAAATTACTTGAACTACGTATTTACTTCTCCAATTTAACTTTTGTTACTAAGTTCGGATATTATATCTATTAAATATTAATCTTTTAAATAAATACATGAAATAAGTTTCAAGAGAACATAGATTATGTATGATCATTTAGATGATTAAAATTCCCATTTTGTAGCAGACTCATAATCTGTTTCTCCAAGACGCAATGCTCCATTCTTTCCAGCAGTAAGGTATCTTCCATCAATGTGTTTAATACAAATTCGAGAAGGTTCTCGTAATTCCAAATAAAAGCCATCAGAAGGTACATCAGAATCCACAGTTACACCTTCGCTATCTGCATGCCAGTACTTGTTATTTTGGCCTAAAAGAAATGAAGCTTATAAACAAATTTGTGCAGAAACATAATTCTCATTATAAAACCTTCTTGCCAACAATGTAGCTCTCAACTTTTAAATTTCAAGATTGCTCTGCAGATACTTACCTTTAAATCTAACAATTCCGCGTTCACATCTTTCTACTCTGATAGTCTCATAGATAGCTTTATTGCATTCTAACTTTGGACTAGATGCACTTTTAGGTCCTACAAATCCTTGTTCACAACGTAGAACTAAAACAGGTCTGTTCATTAAGTAGAAATAATATTTGCTAACATCTGAATCCAATCCATTTACAGAATCCGCATTAGCATAGAGATGTCCAGAACGCTTTGTTGCTAAGAATTTTCCATTGTTAGCACGCAAAGCTACTGTACCGTCCTCTGATTGCCAGATCAAATCAAATAAAGCGTTAGAAGAACGTTTGTGCTCTGATGCTTGGATTCCTCCACCAGCTTCAAGACTCCAGTAACGATCTTGCATGGTACGTATGTACCACCGTTTAGTTACACGATCAAATTCCAGTTGGAAAGTTTCATGGCCAGAAATCTCATCTTGATTAGCTGTCACATCAACTCCTAGAACCACAATGGATGCTGATGCTATCTAAAGAGGCTTTTAACATTATTTTTAATTATTTAAAACTTTAATAAATTGAAAATTTTTTATGAAAAATAAGAAATAAATAAAACGTTTAATTTAAAATTCCAATAACTGCATATTATAATAAATTATAATTAGAACTTTACAACAAACAATTCCATTAAACATTAATAAAATAAAGATTTTACTTAAAAAGCAAAGCAATAATTAAAGTAATCAAAAATTGTTCAAATGTGAGATACCTTGTTTTACAGAAACGTATCGTTGATTTAAAGCAGCAACAAAAGAAGCTTGCGGTAGTGATTCTTCTAAAGAAAATAATTCATCTCTCGTTACTGTTGTTGATCTCGATTTTAATACAGCTTTGCTTCCAATGGGTGCCAAATATGCGCCATACAAATCTCTTTAATTCATTACATTAATTTTATTATTATATTTTATTTATATTTATATTACAATTAAAGAATTGGGAAATTACATGAAGAAATTGTTTTCTTAAAAAAGATCAAATTTAAATGATAGAAATTAAACAATCGTAAGATGATAGAAATATATTTCTAAATAAAAAAAAACTTTTATATTTTATAATTTCTTTAAAGTTCAATATTGACAGAAAATTTTAATTCACAACAAATACCCAATTGAAATTGCGTTCTGAAATATAATCAAACTCATTAAATATAATTCAGAACTGCTTTTATTTCTAGTATTTTGATAAATTTTACTATTTTATTTTATTTTAAAAGATATATTTAATTAGCAGAAAATAATTCATTTTTAATGAAAATTATATTAAGATAAAATCTATTTTAATTGAAAATGTTTAATTATAATTAATTATAATAGAACAAAGCAAAAACAAATTCAAAATAACAAATCAAGGATAGCATTTCAAATTTATTTACAATGGAGATATTAAAAAGCAACGTGAATCTTTAGTATTTTATAATCACATCATGAAAAAGTGCTTTAATGCAGTAAATAAAAAGAATATTATTAGGACTAACCTGAGTGCAAGTAATCCAGCATGGAACTCAGCCGCATAAAGGCAATCTCTTGTACAAGAATCTAGGAGTTTTCCATCGCGTGCAAGATATTTATTATTACAAGTATGAAGAGCATAATGACCACCTTCAAATTTAGTATGTTCTGGACCATCATCTTCTATTGAAGAAGGACGAAATTCTAAAGTAAAAAGTGTATCTTCTCCCCAAGGAACTGGTGCGTCTACATGAATTTCATCTTGTGTTGCACTTAAATGAGCAAAACGTTTTCTTCCAGCAGATTTTAAATTTACCTGCAAAATAAGTTGATTAACAAAATCTTTCCCTAAGAATATGAATAATGTTATATGAGGTAGAAAAATTGAAGTTGTAAAAGAACAAATTATGTATCATTACAATATTACAGAAAAGATTCTATTAAATGTATTGCAGAAAAACAAAAGAAAGAGTATTAAAATTAAGACTGATAAAACTTCAAAAAAAGTTAAATAAAACAAAAGGAGGTCAACTAGTGAAGAGTAAAAGAGACTTAACAACAAAAACAAACAACACAAAAAGAACAGAATATACAAATAAAAGTGGTTCTAACCATATGATCATAAATAAAGTAAAGTATCTTTAGTAATCAAATAAATATAATTAATGGTTATTAAAATATTATAATTCTATATATAAGAACATATTACATTCATAAAATACATTCAACTTTAATAAACAAAAAATTACTTACTTGGGGTCTAGCAGCAAGATGTACAAGCCAATATTCAGCTTCACCTGGAGCTTTGGCTGTACATTTAAGTTCATCTTGACTCGAACCCAGGAAATATCCCCTTTGAATGTTTTTTAAAGCCCATCTTCCACTTCCTAATTTAAAATAAAAAAATTCATTTTTATGTAAACATAATTACATCTATATATTTTATATTTCTTTTTTTTATTTTTATACATAATTGTTTGAAACTTTAATAACAATAAAAATCTATATAAGTGTATTTAAATTAATTTTATAAAAAATAAAGTATTTAATTAATCAATTCAGATTTGTAAATGCTTGAAGTTTCATTTCATTTTTGTATTAATATTAGAATATTATATGAAAAGTATATCAAATTTTTAATACCATCAGAAGCTAGTTGAATTTGAAAAGCACAACCAGGATCACTAGGATCTTCTGCTTCACAGGTAACATTTCCAAATTGATCCACTGCCAAATAACGATCTAAATGGGATCGGAGGAACACTTGCTGCTCGCTACCTTCTAAAGTCCACAATTGCTTTTTCTTCAAACTTGAGCCATTTGCATTTATTTTAAATCCAAAAGTTTCAGCTGTAAGGTACTTAAACTTTCCATTTATTAATCCGACCTAAAAATAATTAAATAATATTAAACAAAAATAAATTTTTGTTTAGGTATTATTACTAAAATTAGAGAATTGTTATTTTCAAAAAATGTAAATTAATTATGGATAAAAACTCTTAATTTCTTTTATGATTTTGTCAAATTCAGTCAGATTCATATACAGTGTCTTCAGCTTACCTAATATGATATCAAACTTAATACAGGAAGATATATAAACTTCGCTAATTTCAAATTTTGAATAAAAATACAACAATTAAAAATGGCGGACTATAATATAAAAAGATGTGCGACAATTTGCATAAAATTGTATACCTACAGATTTATTAAATTATTGATTACGAATTTGGTATAAGAGTACACAATTTGATGCAAATTTACGTACATTTCACGTAAAATTGATTTTAAAATAAAAAAATAAAACCATTGTATCTGACAAAATTTGATTTTTCACATTTTCTAAACATTGTGAATACCTATTAGATTTTACAAATAGGAAAAATCGGGATGAAAATGTCAAAAAGTATGATTTAATAAATAGTAACGAAAAAAAGTACAGACGGTCTCATTAAACATGTATCAAAAGGTTAATAAGGGATGAAGTTAAGGTAAGGATGGGGTTAAATTAGTCAATAATATTTTAATGTAATGTTGTGAAGGTTTTAACGAAGGGTTAAATTAGTTAAGTCGATAATTTTTGTAGTATGTTATTAAGGTTACCCTGAGTAGTATTGCAAAGGTTTTAACGAAGGAGTTAAATAATGTTTATTAAACGAAAATGGTGTTCGGAAACTTTTAATGACAACTTTTTAATAAATGGAGACTAGCAACTAAAACTTTCACACTACTCAGGACATTAACCTTGACAACATACTTCAAGGTTATTGAAGTCAGCGGTGTCTTTCTTTTTATGAGTGTATATCTTATTTTTCTCACTGTCAGCAGAAAATTTTAATATTAATTCTGTAAATATTATTTGAATTTCAAAGCATGTCTACGTAGCCGGCCTAGCTTGACCTGATTGATACAGTTAAATATACCGTTACAATTAATAATTTTGTATTTTTTAAATATTTGTTATAAATTCAAGATAGAACAGTTCCTATAAAATCCAAAAATAGAAAAATATGTAGAATAATATTATCTGAACGGAAAAGAAATAAAAATAAGTGATTTTTAAATAATTAATAATTACCGTCCATCCCGTTTTTTCGTTCGCATTTTCAGAACCAATATTCTCAGAACCGTTCGCCTGCATCATTTACTCCGTTTGATTAATAGATAGATTAGGAATATGTGCCGTAAAAATTCCACGGATTTATTTCTGCAATAATAAAGTACAAATCACATATTATGTATTAGAAAACAATTATATTATATTGGAATAAGCAGATAATTTAAATTACAATTATTTGTAGATAATTAATAACAGAATTTATTATTTTAAAACTTGGTAAAATCGTACTTTTCTCTTCTTTTTTGAAAAATATACTTTTCAGTCAATTTCGAGAAAAATAATGATTAAATATCTATTTTAATAAACTTGAATAAACAGACATATAAATATATAAAAAGAAAACAAAGATTATAGAAAAAATTGTCTGTAGCGAAATTTGAAACCACATCCTTCCATTTATAAGGCCAAAGCGTTTCTCGATCAACTTAATCTACGTCGTAGTACAAAAATTCTTTTCAATGCACTTTATTTAAATACCAGAAATTTTTTAAGCTATTTCTCGAAATTCGATGAAATGCATATTTCGCTATATGAATAAATCAATTCCCTAGTAATAACTATTCATTAGGGGAGATACAAATCGAAACAAGAAAATGAACATCTCACCGACCTCTCATAAATGATTTCTGAATAATTATTATTCGTCTACATGTAAATATATCGTGCCAGAGTAATGTTTAAAGCAATAGTCGTGTTTGAAAACTTCTTGTACGGAAGTACAGACAGACATGTCTGACCTACCCGGAAATGTACTTATGTAGAGATAACGCGCTTCTTAATTTCGAACATCGCTACTTTTATCCCAAAATTCTTTTCTCCCCGAGAGATTTTATTTTCAACCCTCGACTCGATGACTCATTTCTACGTGGCTTCCGCCTGGGTGGGGCCAACATCTCCAACGGGAACATGTTAAAAGGACTATTTCGTCCTTTGTACATTTTATTTGTGTTCTCGCAGAAATATCAATTATCTTCATTAATTTCAACACAAAGTACATAATACATTTTTTTAGTTACAAATTGTTTTATTTCGAACTTAAAATTTAAATAATCTCAATTTAAATACCTACGAAGTATTTACCTATCTGAATCTGTCAAGTACATATGAAATTAATTTTATTTATTTGTGATTTTTCACAAGTGAATAATCAATTGAATAATTGATAACATAATTAAATTCAAGTAAATATATGCAATTTAAATGCTCACAAAAAAACTTGACATTCAGAACTTATTAACGGTAAACAAAATCAATAATATGATAAGAAAGGCAGAACAATGAGCGAAGCTCCGTTTGTTAAATTAAAATAGGCTACCTTCGAATCACTTTAAATTTAAAGTGACATAAGTGTCCGTACACGAATCGGAAACAGAAAATTTGAATTATAAATATGAAATACAAGGTACATAGTTAGAATATAAGCGATAATAACTGTTCAATGTAATTTTACACTCGGATGTTCTAAACAGTATATTTGAGTTCTTAATATTCGAATATCGTCTCATGCATTTAAAATGGAAAAATATTCGAATACCTCGAACGAATATCTATCGAGAAAGACAATTAAACGACAAATAGTAATATATCATTTTCCCCGAGGGTGGGAAGATAATTTCCGCTAATCTAGTGACAGCACATGACAAGCGAAAAACAACTGTGCAAATTTACAAAAGCACAGTTAAAGTGTGTGACTTTAATAAACGAATAAATAAATATATAAGGGTATACCTATTGCAGACGAAATAATAACAATTTTTTAAAAGGCGTTATATTCTTGTTGCTAAGTAGATCTACGGATAAAGTCGTCAAAGACAAGAAAGATGTGTGTATATACCTGTCGTGGAATAACACTGAAAAAGTAACAGACAAAAGTACGCGAGAGAAGTACAAGTCACGAACGGCGAATTATATTCGTCACAACACAGATACCCAGCAACTGACTTAACTCGCTTGTTCTTCTCCGACTGTGTTAAGATCCCGCAGGATTTCCAACGCATGCGCAGCATCTGATTCCACTATAGAATCAGGACTGTGAATAGAATCGAAGCGTCCATAGTAGATGTTACAGGACTTCCGTATTTATTTATCGTCGCAGTCGATTCTTAGTAATCGAGTTATGAAAACGATCCAAGTTATTAAAATCAAAATATACAAGATACGATCAAATATATCGATTGTTATTTCCTAATAAAAATTTTACATACATTAAATAAGACAAACCGGACACGAGTTTTGGGCATTGTATACGGCCCTGTTAAATTCTGCCGGAATATCGCGCGTGCGCTGGTTTAATAAGGGGGTCGTGAATGATAGGGGATACAGAAAGAGGAAAAGGTGGGGAACAAGCATACATCGAACTGTCGGCTTTCTGAAGGACCGTGAACCGTAGATCGACGACCCTACTTTTGTCATCACTGTTTTCCCACTAGCAATGTCACATTCTTATTTCAATTTTACATCTTTCATTTCAATTTCCATGCGTTTCTAATTTTAGACACCATTCATTATTTTATTTTCGTACTAACTACAGTTAATCTACCAAAATATTTCAAAATAATTTTTTATGTTATACACACATGTAGACGCAGTCAGGGCCGCCGCGTATAGGTGTTCAAGTTCACCGCACAAGGGCGGTCAATCGCAGGGGCGGCATTTTGATTGATTATACACGAAAAAAAATTTATTTTTATAGCGTCATTTAAGGAATTGTAGAATTAGATATACAATGTATTTATAATGTAGATTTATTTGCAATATATGCGTTATTGATATGCATAAAATGAAGAAAAATAATAATAATATAGTAGACTCGCATTTTATCACCATGCTTTGTATAATCTCGCGTTATATCACCACATTTCGAATAATCTCGTGTTATATCACCACGCGCTAAATAATCTCGTATTATATCACCACGTGCTGAATAATCTCGTTATATCACCACATGTTGAATAATCTCGCGATATATCACCAGACGCTGAATAATCTCGTTATATCACCACATGTCGAATAACCCCGTGTTATATCACCATGCGTCGTATAATCTCGCGTTATATCGCCATGAGTGTTATAACCACGCGTTATATAATCTCTCATTATATTGCAATGTGCTGCTGCATGCGTTATGTAATCTTTCATTATATCATCATATACTACGTTTCGTATCCTCGCGTTATATAGCCTCAAGTCTACATTGGCTTTAGAATTTCGCTAATCTTATAATAAAAGATGGAATTAAGTTTTTTATGTTACAGAAAAAGACATTTGCAAAATTTAAATTACATATTCTTATAATAATCTATTTCGCTGTTTTGTCAAAAAAAAAAAACATGTATTTTTTCCAATCCGATAATTTGTAACAAATTTACATTTTATACCGTCTTTTTTCGTGAAAGAAATATATACTTACATAATTAGCAATTTAATCCTCTTAGATACAGTTAAACGCTATACAGTTATTTCGTCCTCTTTATGTTGCGATGTAAACTTTCTGCGATGATAATTACCTTTTTAAGACCAATTTAGAGTTCGTTAATTTAAAATGGTAAACGGTGCGTGCTTTGTTCTGAATCGAGTGAATTTTTGTAACCGTATATTTCGATTACTGAATTGATATCCTTTTTATGCGAACTATGCCTACAGTAACGTTCCAAGAAATACAGTTTCCGAACAATTTATTGTAAGAAGATATCTTGTCCTGTAATTGTAGTCCTTTTTATCCTAACGTTGCACTTTTATTTTTTCTCAAGACAAAAGGTTTCAACAATTCCCTGAAGTTGCGACATATTCTTTTAAATGATCGGGTAATGTTCCTATGCAGGCACTTTATTGTTTTATTATTTTACCGTTTTATTGTTGTAGAATTTTATTCTTATACAAGCGTTTTATTGTTTCATTGTTTTAATTGACTATATTACTGCATTACTGTTTGCTCTTTTGCTATTTTAAAAATAGCAACATAGCAAAAATAGAAAATTAATATTAATTCTATTTCAATACATAAGTATGAAAAGAAGAAATAAGAAAAGTAAAATTTGAACAATAACTGATTAAATGAGATCAACTGTTACAACATTATTTAGATCAATGCGGCACTTAAAATTTAATCCAATTTCGTGTAGGAAGTCTAATTGTAAGACTTTCGAGCGTGTCTAACAAGAAGGTAACACTAATTTGATTTTCTTCGCAAATCGCGGACGCAGAACAACTTGAAATTTCTTTCTTTTTATTCACGGCCATATTTTTATATTAGCAGACAGCATTGTATTCATCTAAGTGATAAATAGTAGGTTATTTTCATAAATTTTCTAGAACATTAGTAATATGATGTAATCTAGGTTATGTAATTTCATAAACAATTACATCTTAAATGCTGTATAATAACATAGTACTGTATACATTAAAGGTGATGGTACAATCGCTTAAGCATCATACAATTTTTAATCAAGAATGAACGATACACGTTGTAATTAGACCATCGCGAATTAAATTCCAATATTACACTGAAAAAATTCAGTAGCCTTAGTAAGTAGTGCATTTGTTATACAAGTGTTTCGCAATAGCCTAGATGCATCAAGCGACGTCGTTAAAGGAACTGTTACTGATGGAAGGAAAAGAAGAATAAACGTAGAAAAAGAGAAGAAAGAGTTCGTTGACCGCCAAAGAAAAGTCAGAAGCGTGACTGTAACCATGACTGTGATCGTAATCCTGATTGCAACCGTGATCGTAACCATGACCGACTTGCCTTTACAAATTCTTAGAAAGTTTTATGTGCGTTCACGCGTACACCTGCGTATGAGTTATACGAATATTACGCTCATTTGCAGAAATTCTGTTCACCTTTTATGTCATGTGTATGTTACGGTACTACACATGTACAGATATAATGACTATGCAGTAAATGAAGATAAATTTTGAAAAAGCTAATTCCATTTAATAATTCCTATTAACGTACGCATACCATTCATAATCTCATTTGTACCGTTCATACCGTTCATTGCTTCTTCATTTCATTCAAATAAAATAATAGTTTAAATTACTTTTAAATAAAATTTAATTCTGTTATATATGTATAAATTATATACAGATTTATTATTTGTTATTATTTTAAATATCCTATTAATAGTACTAAAAGTTAATCGTACGAATAATTCCAATTAGTACGCAATCTGTTCTCTAATCAAATACACGGCACTGATTCTATAAAATATATAATCATTCAAATATTACAAGCAATACGTTTTGTTTCGAAACTTTTCTATTGTTTACATATGTGTAACATTTATATATATATAATTCAGCGTAATATGATCTACTTTTAAATCATCAAATTGTTATTACATCATTTAATACTTAAATAGGAGTATTGTAAATTATTTAAACTAGTTAAATTCAAACATTTTTTGATTTCGAACATTTTGGAATATCTTCGAGTCCCAGCCGATCTTGCCCGAATTTTTCCGAGCATGACCCAAATCCATAATCTCGAGTAACCGCACATCTCTAAATTTCAAATTGAGTAGAATTTGAGCAAACATATTTATGTACATATTAATTTTATAAGCATACATAGACATATAATATTATGCATATACTTTGTAAAATACTGTGATGAAGTTTTCAGGAGTAGCAAGAATTTCTAAAATTTGTGATCAGTTTTGAGAAATACTTTAAATTCTTTTTATATCGGCACAGCTATGCACGTAAAAGTGTTTTAAAAGGGCATGTTTGCTCTGTAGTTATACTGACTGTTAATATTCTTATGGTTATAGATAACTTAAATAAAAATTATCTTTTCTATAAGGCGTTATTTTGATACATTTAAAGTTAATTTATTACAGTATTATAAAAAGCTACATATTTCAAATAAGCTGTACAAAATTTTTAACTATACTTGATTTAATCATTCTTTTTTGATATTCAATTATTTTTAAAAATCACAATTTCATCCATTTTTAATGTTACGACAATTATAGATGATCATAACAAGTGACATTTGTAACTTAACCTCAAATTTAACTTCGCACTTCCGTTCGATATACTATTATCAATTTATACAAAGATTTTGACGCAGTAATGCAGTAATTAAAACTTAGTTACGATGAAAGCTGAAAATTCAACAAATTTAAGATTGTTTAAGTTTAATATATTTATTGAATACAACAAAACATACAGTTCAATTGTAAAGTGAAAAACAAAAACGCCTAATTTATGTACAATAATTATGTAGCACCTTAATTCTTAATTTAAATAAGGTTACAATAAGATAGGGATTTTTCTCTGAAAAAGACTAATTAAATGACTCATATGTAATACAGACCTTTAATTAAATTTAAATAAGTAAAAAATTAAAGTTCTTAGATCACAAAATGTTATATCCTCACAAAAAAATGCATTTTATGCTTATGACAATTATTGCTGTCACTTCGAGTATAATAATTTATCAGGTATATTAATGAAATACAACAGAAGTATTTTAGAATAATTACTTATAATAAATTTACATGTAGATAACACTTGCGTATGTATATACACAATGTGCATGTATAAATTAAAAGTAATTTTATTCTGTAAAAATGGTTGATTCGAATTCATTATTTTCTAACATGTTACTTATTAAGTATCATTTGATTCGAATTTGTTGATATATTTACATATCTTATAAAAATACTGAAAGTTATTGACATAATACAATATATTTTATTAATATTATTATTAATATTAATACAATAAATACTTGTCATTTATAGTAACTATTAAATAAGCAATGAAGATATGCAAAAATGGAATAACTTTGTCAATAAAAAATATTAAATGTTAATTCAATAGTAACAGTATTATTAATTAATAAGGTTTATAATTTAAAAAAATAACTAAAATAATTTACAGATGTATTCATTTCAAATTGATAACAAATCATATTACTCAGGTATATAAAATATATTGATTTTTCAATGTTTTTGTAAATCTGTGTAAAATAATGATATAAAAATTAGAAAAATATAAAATTTTTTTCATAATTTTATATATATATATATACTATTTTAGATGAAGTGCCTATAATTTTGTGGTGGACTCCTTTTGGAACTGATGGAAAACTTAGAAATTGCGGAAATTATCAATGTTATTTTACAAGTAACCGATCATTGCAGTATCATCCAAATATAAAAGTAATGTAAACTTATATATTTAAATACACAATGATGGACAGCAGTTTAAAATGACTACCATATTCATACATTATCTCACTACGTTACAAATTATAATTAACACTGACATATCTTGAATTGTTACACTTAACACTGCTTACGTCTAATGTTGAAAGCTTTCAGGTGTGCAATGCTAAGTAAACAGTGTTAGGTGTAGCAGTGTTAAGTGTAACAGTGAAAATCTCAAGGCATTTATTTTTAAATTCAACTGGATTATTCTCAAGGAAGTTTGTAGTTGTTTATTTTGAAAGTTGTAATGTTAATCAGGAATAGAGTACTAGTGTTTTTAGAATAATTTTAAATTGCTGTTCATGTTATATTTGAAATATAGTAAGGTAATATATGAACAAAATGTATGAACAAGATAGCCATTTAAAATTATTATCAATTTAATTTGATAAACCATTAAAAGATTATAAGATTATTTTAATTATAAAGACGAAAATAATTGTAGGCCAATATCATTATTAAGTAAAAGTTGATTAATTTTGTTTACTGCTGTAAACTAATTTATACAAATAGAAATATATAAATTAGTTATATTTTTTTCTGAAGTGGATTAATTAATTCATTCTCGAAAATGTAAGCATATTTTAATTTGCAGAGCTTTCTTTTCTATGGTACTGCTTTTCAAATTAATGATTTACCAGAATGGAAATCCAATGAAGTTCCCTGGGGTTTGCTTCATGAAGAGTCCCCAAGAAATAACCCAATCCTGGTTCATCAACAAACTTTAAATCTTTTTACGTACTCCTCAACATTTAGCAGATTTAGTGATGTGCCTCTCACTCTTATAGATCTACCTGGAATTACAGAATTATTAAGTAGGTAAATGTAATAAATTGAAACATTTTAAAACCGGATAATTAAATATGTTTAAAACATAAAAAATTAAAAAAATTTTCATTTTTTCAAAATAAAAAGTTATCTGTGATAATTTGTGACATTCAATCATTTGAAAAGTTAATATTAATGTTTTAGGTAAAAAATATTTTGTTTCAACAAAAGAAAAGACTAAATTAATACATACAAAAAACCTTGCACCATTGCTTTACATACAGTCTGACTGTGATACTGCGAGTAATAGAGATATTTATGTAGCAGAATTAATGAAACATATACGGGTTGATTCATATGGCACATGTTTAAATAATGTTCAATTAGATACAAGGTAGAGTATTTTTATTTATTTTCATTTTAATTTGAAAAAATATTATATGTATTAATTATTATATTATTTCTACAAATAACATAATTATAATATAGGCTAAAGGAAAATTACCTTGAAATATTAAACAGTGAGGATTTTCTGTCATTCATCAGTAAGTATAAATTTACAATAGCTTTTGAAAATGCAGTCTGTGAAGATTATATCACGGAAAAATTGTGGAGGCCCCTTATCGTTGGATCTGTACCTATATATTATGGATCACCTTCATTTAAGGTATTAAAATTTAATCTGTTATTTTAATGATTTTTTTTTAAACGACAATATATTAATTTTTATTTTTCGAGTAAAATAAATTGTATAATTTGACATTCTGTGTTCTTAACAAAGAATTTATCATCTTTTTTTGTTTAAAATGGTCTAATAAATAAATTTAAGTTAGAGAATGAAATATGAGTTTATGTTTCTTTGTCAATCACAATATCTTTTTATTAGAAAGTAATTAAAATTTACTTAAAATATTTTTAATATTCGAAGTTATAAAGATTATAAATTTGTACCATTTTAATTTATAATTTCCGCAATATTATCTATAATGTTTTGGACAAAACTATTTCACTTTGTTTAGTACAAGAAATAACTATTTAATAATTTTATTCAAATTATACAAGTTATCTTAAATTATATAATGGACAATGCACGTGTACACAGATTACAATGCAATTAAACCACTAATTACGTTTTTAATTTACTTCTAGGATTGGCTTCCAAATAATATGTCTGCAATTTCAGTACGAGAATTTAAAGATCCAATAAGTTTGGCCAATTTCCTACAGAAACTTGTTCTTAATGAAACTGAATATGATAAATACTTGTCACATAAACTAATTAATAATTATGAAATACACAATGAAAGATTGAAGAAGGCATTTGAAAAAAATACAACATGGTTTCGAAATGAATTTGGAAATTATGTTGAAGAATTTGAATGTTTTATTTGCGAGAGTATACAAAAAAAAGGAAAGAAAAAAGTTGTTGACAAAGAACATTACGACTGTCCATTGCCAATAAATCCATTAACAAATGAAGTTGATCATAATAATTGGTGGGTACAGCAATGGATTGTAGAAAAATGTGGTGCAAAAGTATTGACTTATTATTTACAAAATAATTTTACAATTAACATGGAAAATTTTGAAAAAGAAAAGCTGCAATTATATGACAAAAATAAGTGTTAAATTATTGGTATTTATATGATTTTTGCTAAAATTTAAATGTACATAATTTATACTGTTATAATGAAAATAATATTTTGTACATTTGTTCAAAATTGTTATTTGCTTTTAAATAATTGCTTTATGATACTTATTCTGATGAAAGAAGACAATACGAAACGAAAGATCATATTCATAATGACCATTTAATGTTTTATGTTTTTCATATTTTATAAAATGAAAATACTAGATATATATGTGATAATAAAAATGTATCGACGTAAAACAAGTTTTAAAAAATAATGACTATATATATTTGTTCGTTGGAAAAGAAAGTGATGCAAGTTATACATATAGCTACAGATTAAAATCATGCTGGTGCAATTGAAATTGTTTGAAATATTAAGTTATACGCGCAAATACCATTTATGTATGGTTGTTTATTAAAAGAAATGACGCCAATTGTAAATCTATCTATTTGTACTCAAATAAATAATAAATCAATTTAATGAAACCATTCGTTTTACAGAAAGAGAATTGATTGATTGATTGATTGATTCTTGTTGCGGGCGTCGACTACTATGGTCATTAACCCGGAAAGAGAATTATGACTTACACCAGATTGATTTTTACTTCTTTGTATAATATTTACTTAATAAAAAGACTATCATAACTGAAAAAATTCCTTGTTTCAAAATTTCACTTACCAATCTGGTTAAATGAAAACGGGATACTTAAATTCAATTCATTGGTTTGGTTTGCACAATAGGAGCTGGTACTTTCATTAAATCACAGAGGTGATTTCTGATTGATCGAAGTTCAGTTACTGATTGCTCCCAATCAGTAACATTTAATTCAGTCAAAAGTTGCATTAAGTCTTGTTCTGAAAGATCCATTTCTTCTCCATACAAAGTTAAAGCTTCGTATGTTTTTGTAGCAGCTACCTTTCGTATGCATTTATATTTATGACAAAGAAAAATGCTTAGTTGACAAAATGCTCTCTTTGCTACTGGTCCATGTATCTAGGAAAAGATTTTAAAATAATCATAAAAGCATCATATTAGTTTGCTATATTAAGTATCAAAACATGGCAATACCTGCAGGAGTTGACAAAAAACATTTATACTGCTAATTAACAACTTAGTGTTGCTTGTGTTTTTTATTTCTTGCTTCAGTAATATTAATATTCGTTCTGCAATTCCATTTTCAGAATCATCAAGAACAATTTGAATACACCCAGAACTAAGTAAACGATCCAAAAAGGCCAACATCGATGTGATCATTCTCTCATTTTTATGACTTTCTTCGAAAATTTGTAAAATCTTATAACATAAATTTTTAAGACCTAACTCATCTATTTCTTGTAAATAAGAAAATAAAGAAACGCTAGAATGTTTAACCTGAATAAAAGAATAATAATTTTTACATTAAGAATTAAACGTTAAAAATAAAATTTAATTGTTTATATTTTTAGGATAATAATCACCAAAGATTCACTTAAGCCTCCAACACTAAATATAATTCCCCGTAAGAGGCTCATTGTATATGGAGGATAAGATAACATTTTAATAAACCGTGGAAAAGTAGCAGATTCCATTCTCCATTCTATATGTTCTTTACATTCATTATAAGGAAAAATAGTTTTTAATTCTTCATGGTATGGAATGTTTGGTAGAGGAGGATCACTATGTATAAGTGCACTGAAAACAATTCCTGCTTGTGCTCGAATTCCATCAATTCTTTCAACAGCTTGCTGTGCAATTCCTCCAATTATATTTGCCATTAATTCATCATTTAATACAGAAATTAAATTTGCTTGTGATACCAAATTTGTTAACATCTGTAATTATTTAAAGAATATTCCGTTATATATTGAAGTTAAACTAAGTTCAATTTTGATAATAAAGAAGGTACTTTACATGTAAACCAGTCATTGCTGCTTCTCGTACCCAAGCTCCTATATCTCCACGACTATCTATTGTATACTCCTTTAATGCCAATAAATAACAATGATATAAATTGGGTATGAATACTTCCCATTTATCTAAAAATTATAAAACTATATATAGCTAGAAATTTTATTGTTTGAAAAAGATTTAAAAATATGCATTGTAAAAACAAACGGAAAAGTAAACATTACTCCTATAAAAGTTTAAATTTTAAGAAAAATTGTTAAATTGTTCTTAATGACTACAACTATACTAAAATAAAATTGATTAAATATACAGTTTTAGTTCAAATTTGTTAACAATTAAAAAAACTTTTATTGCAATAACTTCTCCTTTCTTCATTTTACTTTCTTTTCATTCAAATTTTATTAATTTTAAATTAATGAAATATAAATTCAAATTTTTAAAAGAATATACAAACCTGTTTCTTTCACTCCTAAAGTTTGACAAACCATTATCAAGGCATGAATAGCTTCTTTCCTGCTCTCTGCCCACTTTAAAGTATTTGCTGATATTTCAGTACACTTAATGAGAGCCTCTATTACGTCTTTTATTCTTTCACAAATTATAAATAAAGGAAAATATCCTGAAGAAAGAAAGTTATAATTAATATAATATTATTAAGTATATTATTTCCAATTTAGACAATAACATGTTCTTTATGATCAATAGTTTTAATAAAAGATAGAGGGAATGAACAAATGAAAGTAGTAATACCTATGGCTTGCGCGAAACCAATTCGAACCAACTGATTATTTGACTGTAAATTATCAAGATAACGATTAATCACAACATTACGGTCTCCGCTATCTAAGTTGGCATAATATTTTTTTAAAAATTCTGTATGTGCTTCTGCTGCTTTTATTTTTACTGTAGACACTTCATGACCCAAACATTCTTCTAATAGATTTTGCCAGTCATCTGTAAATATTATACTAAATAAAGTAATAGTACTAGAAAACAGACACCTAATATAAACAACATTATTAGATGTCGATATCTCTATGTATTAATATAAAATATTTGTTTAACAGTACACAATTATTTTAATTAATGCTTGCTACATATGTACAAACTAAAATAATAATTTTTAACTTTTAATATTTTTTTATATATTCATGCAATAAAATTTATAACAAAGACAGTTAATATATTAACAATTTAAATGTAATAAATTAATGAATATTATAAGTAATTTATCAATAATATCAACTTACAAATAATTTCCCTAGATATTGGAAAATGGACAATAGAGCATTTCTTTATAAATACAGCACAAGCTTGTTTCATTAATTCCCCTCCAAGACCTTTGAATTGTCCTCTTTTTCTAAAAGTGTTTACTATATTTCTTATATTTTCTACAGCTGATGCTCCAATTATGTTCTCAATTTTTTCATTGAAGCAATTATGTAATGCTTCTAAAATTTCTGCAATAGCTAATACTGCACCATGTCTGATATTTAAATCAATAGAATTTAACATTTCTAATAAATTTGGTAAAACTGTATCTTTGAAGTAGTTTGGATCTATAGGAGTTAAATTAAAAAGAGCTTTAGCTGAAAGTTCCCTAAGTGCTGTATCCCAATGTGTAACTTTTCTTGCAACTAAATGATCAATGAGAGGTTTTGTATATTCTTCATATTGTGCAATTTGAGTACTAATTTTTAAATATGCGTGATTTCTAACGCCGACTTCAAAGTAATCAGCAATGGTAAGTATTTCTATTCCATGTGGAAAATTTCCCTGTCTACCTACATTTTCTTGAAACGCTGCAGAAGCAGCTCTTCTACAATTAATTTCTCTATCAAAACACGTAACAACTAATAACATAGCTGCAATTTCTTTCACATATGGTTGAAAAACATCAGAATCGTATGCTCTGGCAAATGCCCAACAAACATAACATGCAGCATCTCTAATTAAATATCCAATTGATCCATAAGCTCGTGGTTCATCAAATACCAATGCCTGAACAACTACTGGTATCACATCTTTCAATCGGTGGGGCAAAAGAAGTCCACGTCTTCCTAATTCTGCTAATGCTAGACAGCCACCATGCCAAGCAGAATCTGACTCCCGACCAGAAAAAAGATTTAATACAAATCCTACTACATCATCTGCTAAATCTATTGGTAGTCTTGCTGTTATTCTACCAATTCCCTTTGCAGCAGACCATCGTATTGTAATTGCTTTATCTCGCAGTCCTTGTATAAGTTGTTCGATAATATCTTCTATTGCAGGTGGAATATCTTGATCGTCGTGGTAACATGGAATATCTTTAGCTTCTTCAATACTTTCCATAGTATTACTATTCTTAGTATTAGGTAGTAAAGATATAGGTCTACTAGCTTTCTGGTATCTCCATGTAGCTAATTTTGTTCCTAATAATACCAAACCAATTCTTTGTACAATCTTTATTCCAAACTTTCGAATAAGATCTGCAGGATTATCGTTCAAATGAAATTGTAAAACTTCATCTAAAATTGTTTGAGTGTATGGTTTAACATCTTCTCTTGCACTGTGTTTTAATATAGCTGCTATAACTGCTAAAGGACCATGTCTCAAGGGATCGTCCTTTACACATTGTAAACTCCATATTATCATTTCTTGCAAATATACTTTTTTAACGTCCGATCTTGTTAAGAAATTAGCAATTAAAAATACTGCAGCCACAGCACAAGCATCTTTCGATAAACAAAATAATTTACATATCTTTATAATTCTGACTATTATTGATTCTTCTAATTTAACATCAGAGACTTCCAGACGTGAAAGTGGAAATGGTATCTTTGATATTATAGAAAGCCAAATTAGAAGCACATATCGAGTTTCCCATGTTTCTACATCATTTATATCTTGCTTTTCAAGCATTCGTAGAACAGGAAGAAGATCTGTTACCTATATTAAATTAAATCAAATATTTCAAAACTGAAACATTATTTTTAAACTATGAACGTTCATGCATTTGTCATTGTACTATATACTGACTCTTTTTTACTTTATGCAGCTTGTACATTCACTTAAATATTACTTTAAGAATAAACATTAAATGTATTTCATTTACGTATTAACTTGATGCTATGAACTCATTATCTTTACTTGAATAAAATCAATATTATAATAATATCATATGGTAGTGACCATAAATATGTTAAAGTAACATCTATTACCATTTATTTAAAAATTATGAAGTAAATTTACAAAACAGATATAAATATATTAAGCGATATACTTTAACACGTATACTTAAAAAAGGATATATAAACTACAGATATATTTTTATAATCTTATAACAATGAAATAAATTTCTATCTAAATGTTTCTTTATTTATGCCTTGTAAACATATGCATTTATATGAACATCTATAGTCTACTTATCGAGATCATGTTATAAGTTTAGTAGATTAATATACCTCATGTGGAAGATACGTAACAATTTTTTTGTATGTTTTCACTGACATAACAATAAAAATATATTTAAAAGCATTGTGCCGCATGCTTTCTGTTGAATTTTCATCTTTAATAATACCAATCAGTGGCTGTAAAATGTCATCTAAGTAAGGATCCAATAATTGTCTCTGATCCTGATATTGTGATAAAATAAAGTTGAAACGATCTCGATTTTTTTCAACAAGGCTGGGTGAAAGATTAACTTTCTTTAATTCCGAAATTAAAGCGGTCACTTCATCAATTTCCTTAAAAGCACTGAATCCGCAACCAATTATGTCCGAGTCCGGACAATCACTAAACACCATTTTTTCTTTTGATTTCGTCGTTATTCACAAAACTTATTATTGTCACTATAAATTCATTTTTGAGCACTTAAATTCGTAAAAAACTAAAATTATGATACACAGATTCTTTCGAGTGATTTCACGAGGAAAAGATGCCAAATCGTAGCGCATGCGCCGCACAATTGCGTATTTTATATTCAAATTTTTGTTTGTTTTTAGTATAATATTATTATATGACGCTTCATGACGTTTCATAAATGATAGTTTAGGTAACCGTAAAAACGTTTGTTAATCAAAAATTAATATGATATGTTATAAGTATATTCAGAGATATACTTATAAATAAAAATATAACGGGTAATCCGTTTACTAGTACCACTGCATATACAATAAAATTCCGATTAAAACCCCCCAACTAAACTCCTATTTTGAACTTCTAGTGCGGGAAGTTTACTGTAACTTAAAAGGCAATAAAGTATTGGAATAGCAGCAAAAACATAGTTTTATAATAGAATAATACACTTCTAAATTCATAATCTAGAAACTGCAGACCATTGGAAAATTTCTAAGAATTTTTACTTCCAAAATCCTAATTTATTATTAATCGATAATTTGTTACAATGTTTAGTACATTTAGTTTTAGAGATTAGGAATAGTTTTAGTGTTTGGAATAAAGAAATTAATTTAATTAACAGATAACACTAAATGTAAATTAAGGAAAGAAGAGTGTCATAAATGTTTATTTATTCTTTCAAACATTCACAATTCAATGATAAGATTAGAATACACAGAAAAGGAAATTTCACTATTAATACTTTTAATATCATTTACAATAAGTTCGAAAAATAATGAACATATTACATATGACATTTTATTGAAAAAAGGCGTATGTATATACACGTGTACATGAAATCAATTACAAGACTGATATGAATAAAATTTTATGAACTCATAGGATTCTTATTGACTTAGAAAAGTTTATCAATAAAGTTATACAATTTTAAATAACGATAAGAGAAAAAAATTCTTCGATTAAAAATATCTGCAAATATCTAAACAAATAAATGCTCTAAACATTTATCAAAATGAAATATGTAAAAGTGATAATAAGGAAAGAGAATTTTGTAGAAATTAGGTTTTAATTATAAAATAGTATACAGCTTTTACAAATCAACAACTAATATACAGAAATTACTTTTGTTAATTAAATGTATTTCATTTTGAAAGAGAAATGATGTATTTTTTAAATTTTTCTTTATAAAATAACATGTCATATACATTAACATAATACATAACTTAAAAACATCACAGTTATAATTAAGATTTTTCTATAATTCTTTTTCAGCTTAAAGCCTTTATCTTAAATGAAAGAAAATCATAATTTTATGAATTCAACTTTGATCAAGTTTCCCTTGTGAATATTTTAATAAACTTGTATAAAAGCAATTTAACAATTAATATTGTTGACACTCTTTAGACATTTACAATATTTCATATTTACTACTATATAATATTTAATGAGTCAACAGTGTTTATGTACTACTACAGAATGTTCAATAATAACAACTTCAAATTTCTTATTACAAAAAGATATAAATGAAAAAATAAAATACATAATGTTTTTGTAGATAATGTATATAAGGCAGCTTGTAAATATGTAGTCTAACAAATATTAATGCTGATATGCATAGAATTTAAAAATATAATATAATTCAAATTACTTTGAAAGTATTATCTTTTATTGTATGATAGTATCATTTATTGTATTTTTATTAAATTATTTTCACAGCGTCTGTTGTAAAATTTATACTTATTACAATTATAGAAATAACAATTGGTACCCTTATTTTAATTATTTAGCACAATATTTAAAAAATTTAAGGGACATAACCTTTTGTAATAAACTATCAAAAAAGGCAATGTATAACTTATGTATTATGTCATGAGTTCGTTTAAATACTTCTACGGATCAATCGAACATTGAATTTTCATTAAAAATTATTAACTATATAGTGAAATTTAAATAAAAGACAAAATTATTCTTCAACAAGCTGAATGTGCTGCCCACGGTACCGTTTCACTGAAGTGGTAGAGCCAAGAACTTCTAGGTTTTGGAAAAATGGAGGTCGCAGTTCGATCGAAATCACGATTTGTCTTGTTTAAAAACCATTAAATCGCGTGATTTCCTTGCAAGAGAACTGACTTTTAATAAACTTTCTTGTTTCTTAGTGATTTCATTTCTTCATAACTTCGAAATCTGAAAAGTGAAGATCTATTTGTACGTAGTAAAATGCAGGAGAGACGGTACATCCCCATTGTATGCTTTTTCTTGTTTCACTTCTAAATCTATAACTTTTACTGAATTTCTATAATTACTTTGATTCTGAAAATGATTTATCATTCCGAACATGTATTCTTTTATACATAATCTTTAAATTCTTTTCACTATCACTTTGAGTTATGCTATTGTAATTACTTTACTTTATTTCTTCTTTCAGATATTCAATTTTCTTCTTATTAGTTATAATTAATTACTATTTCATGTAAATTATTATTTTAATATATTTCTTATGTTGTGATTAATTGATGTTGTTAAGCTTATATAATTTTGTAATGTGTTTATCTTTTCAGTTTTGACGGGATAATATATTGGACGTGTAACATTTATGGAAAATGAAATCAATCAAAGCAAAAACCAAGGCCAAAAAACCTAATGGCAAATTTAGAAGAGTTAAATTTCCTCCTACAGAAGTTGCTTCCATAAGTTCAGACTTGTCAGAGTTAAGTCAACCAATAGACACGAGCATTTCAAATTTGTATCGTGTAACCAAAATTTTAGAAAATGGCAGCGATGAAGTTAAATCAATTTTAACATATGAATGTGACTTGGTATATGAATGTCGTATATGTCGAAGCCTGTTTAGGAGTTTGGTTAATTTCATCTCGCATAAACGCATTTATTGTAAAGAGAAAGTTGATGTCACATTTGCCAGGAAATCTTTCTGTGATTATACTACAGTATGTTCTGTTTTGTTTATTTTAATACGAAGATAAAATAATGGAAACAAATAATTTTTATAATAATCAAACCATTGACATGAATTATATATTGTAAATATCAATAACTGTTATGTCCTATGTTGTATGCATTAGCTTTTTCTTAAAAGTAAGATTAAATCATAATTCTTTACTTTCAAAAATCTTTCAAATATTGAATGCATTTCAAAAGCATTTTAAATTATTAAATATCACAAGATGATATTGAAGTTAGAAATTAATTAGAGTTATAGGGTATATTCATTGAATGGTTAAAAATAAATTACATAATTTTATTTTCTTATCTATGTAATTCTAAGATTAAAAACAATATTGCTATAATATTATTTATTATTTCTAACTGTACTTTAATTAAAATAATATACATATTTATTTTGCAGATTATAAGAACTGAATCAGATAATGAAAAAACACAAAAATTGTTTCATGGACATTGTGAAAATGATGGAAATTTTAAAAGTCAAATTTCTGAGGAGAAACAAAAAAAAGATCTCACTTCTATTATTACTATGTTACAGAAGAAACATACAGAAAATTTTCAAAATAATAGTGAATGCGTTTATTTGGAAAGTGTGCAATCAAATTCATCAGCAGTTTATCAAACTGTTGAGTCAGTCAATTCAAATCAGGATCGTACAGAATTAATGAAAACTCAGGTAACATTCTTAATGGATTAAAAGTTAAGAAATCAAATAAGTATCATTATGTGAAACATTTTATTATAAATTCAACAACATTTAGATAACTGAGTTAAAAGATATGATAAATGGGAAAAATGCTGTGTTAGATCCAAATGGACAACTTAAACATCTTGATCATGGATCAAATACTGGCAGTATAACTCAAAACGTTAATAAGGAAAAATCTGGTAGAATTTCTGAAAATGACATTGTTTGTTCAATATGTACGTTTTTATTACTTTTATGTACTTTTTTAATCTATCCTCAAAATTATTATTCTGTAATTTTGTAATTTGTAGGTAGTGCAAAGTTTTCAACAAAAAAGACATTAGCTGTTCATACAAGAACATTGCACACATCTCATAGGTTATGTTATCCTTGCCCTTTTTGTTCTAGTACATTTGCAAATACCTGGAGTGTTTATCGACATCTCTTCAAAAGTATGTATAAAACTTTGTAATAGTATATTTTATATAAATAAACGTTTAAGTTAAAAACATGTACACCTTACTAAAACAGGTTTAATTAGTATTATAGATTATTAGAAATAAAGGTTTAAGTTATAATAATACATAATTACATTGAAAAAAATATTAAATACAATTAATTTAGTGTTAGTTTAAAATGGTGTGATATGATAGTTCATAGAAAAACCAGTGATCAGGTACGGAGGCTTAGGACTCAGATTCAGGAAAAAGCATTCTTCAAAGACACAACTGTAGCAGAAGATTTACAAAAGGAAGATGCCAACAAAACCTTAATGAATGATACATTGCGAATTAATGAAACTCAGGTATCTCAGTTGCTATGATAATACATATTTTAACTTTTATCAAGGTATCATTAATTTAAGACAAAGTATTCTGGCAGGAATGGATAGAACATTTAGAATCTGATTCAGAATTACAAAGATGTGGAGGTTGTGGAAAAAGATTTGATAGGAGGGCAGCTTTATTGTCTCACTCTCAGTATTGCCATAGACGTGTCGCAGCATGTGAAAGCACTAAAGCAAAAAAAGTTAATAAAGTCTCACTAGATCCCACTCCAAAGGAAAATATAGTTATTATTCCGGAAATCCAAAAAGATGTAAACACAGAAAGTTTTTCTGCTGCATCTGAAATCAACAATAGTTTTGAAACACCTATACGTGTAGAAACTGTTGCAAGTTTAAGTAAAGAAGATTGGGATATGTTAGACACTGAAAAATCACAGAATGGAGCAAAGAATGAAGAAGAGGTGACAGTTATTACAAATGGAGCGCAGAAAGTAACAGAAGAAGGTATTTCTCCTGCAAATGATATTTCTGATCCTATAGAAATTGTGTACACTAATATTAATAAACCGAAAACTAATATTGGAAGTAAAAAAAGAAAACGTAAAGATAAGCCAAAGAAATTAAGTAGTACTGCAGGTAAGCAATATCTTTATCACATGTAATATCTATAGCATTTAAATTCAATTATACAAATTATTTTCTATTCTGATACATTCATTCGTTTAAAAATAAAATTAGTAAAAACGTAATAATAAAATGTCATCAACAAAATAAAATTTTCATCTTTAGCAACTATTACAAAAGACATATCTTCGGAATCAAATACTGAACAAGAAACAGAAATACAGAAAGTGGATAATGTCTTACTGATGGAAGAAAAAGTGGCTTCGATTATAAACCTTCAAAAACTTCAGTGCCTTTCATGTAAACGAAAATTTATGTCAGCAACTAATTTAAGAAGACATGCTGCTATTCATATTGGTTGGAATCGTTATAAATGTAAACTCTGTGATTTTAAATGTTTTGTGAAATGTGATTGCGTAGCACATTGTAATAAAATGCATAATGCTCAAAATAATCGTGTTATCATAGAAGATATGATAGCTTTGATTCCCGATGATCAATGCATACACGAACAAGATATTATGTTGGACATAACAAACGTAGAAAAGGAGTCAGGTACTCCAGAAGTTACAGAAAATCATGTAGAATCAGAAGTTCAAATAGAAGAAAAGACTGTAAATAAAACAGAAATAGAAATAATAGATACAAATTCAACGTGTCAAGAAGTAGTTCATATTAACGGTGAAACAGAGGAGGTATCGAACGTTAATAATAAAGATCAAAATACTGCGGGATTGGATCCTGATATTAGAAAAATGGTAATGGAAGTTATTTTTGGATCTTCTGAAGTAAATTCCGCAAAAGAAACCACGAAAAAGTCTAATTCTAAATTACAAAATATACAAAACAGCGAAACGGTGCAGTCGAGTTGTTCTGAGTTGAAAGAAAGTGAAATTACATCTATACAAAATAATTTAAAACCGCAACGTCCTATTCGCAATAAAATGAAACCTTTGAATAAAGATTTTGTTTATGATTTAAAGGATGTAGCAGGTGCAAAGGATTCATTAATTATGAAACCTTTTAGTAAATCGTTGCGTAAAAAACCTCTGCTACTTGACGAAGACAATTTAGACAGAGATACAGAACAACCGTCAAAACGTTTTAAATCTATACAGAATGCTAAAATATCAATTCTATGTGACAACAATGTTATAAACAAATGCGATATTAAGCTCAGCAGAGTTGAGGAAAATTTAAAAGGTAGCCTTGCTTTTCCTCAATGCCACAGTTAATTAGCAAAATGTGTATTATGCTGAAAATAATGAAAATTTTGGTTTCATTGAAGAATACATTACTTGAATAAATCTTTTTATTTCTATTTAAAAAATGGAATTTTAGCAAAATTGTACATTATTGATTATAGCAATGTATATGTTATGATTTATACCTGTTAATTATTATTAACAGATTTAATATTTACATATTTACTATTTCTTTCATTTTTGTTAGGAATTCGTAAAAATTGAAAATTTTTTATTTATAAATTCATACAAAAGATTTGTTTAAGTGAAAGTTAATTGTAATGAATTACAATGAATGTAGATAATAATTCACTTGTATACTACTTGATATTAATCTTATTGAAAATAAAAACATTATTGAGAAGTTGTTTGTACAATTTTGTGTACTTTTTAACGTAGATATCTGACAATCAATGGGTTGTCAATAATATTTGAAACAATGAGTGCAAGAAAGCATAATTAATCGTTTTATTTTTTCTTCCAAATTGATTTGAAGAATACTTAATAGTTTATATAAAAGATATATATATATATAATTTTTGTAGATAAAACAAATTCTGCAACTTTATTTAAAATATATGAATTTTATGTATCATACTTGCTAATTCACAATCATATCAATTGAATTGAATAATGGAATGAGGAAATTGTTACTTTTAAGTAACTGTAAATTTTTATGTAATAGCAAAAAAGGAATTGAAGGAATTTGCGTTATATTTATTTATATTTATATACCTTGCGATTAAAATCAGTTTATCTATTGTTTTTAATTTAAAATTAAAAAGCGCAATAAAATATAAGACATAGTTATAGAAACTAATAACAAGTAATATTCAAATTACACAAAACTTTATAATACTTGCAATAAATATATATATGTTAATGATATTAATAAACTAAACAACAAATGTGAACATAAGTACTTATAAAATTTGTAAAGAAAGGACTAATTTCATGAAAATGTCATGCAAATAAAATGGAACAGGTAGAAAAATAATGCCATCTGTTCTACTATATAATTATTAATTGTAAAATGTATACATAATTATCTAACTTGGTTTAAATTATTTTTACTGTTTTGTTTAATATAAATGAAATTAAAATTCACGAATGAACTAATTTACTTTCTTAATATAATAAATAGCCCATCCTATAAGAATAGCTACACATTTTTATTACGAAAATTCAAATGTAACTTACTTACGACAATTTATAAAAAGCCGGTAAGAAACAATTGTTTTGTATACAACTTGTATATGCAATGTGGTACTATATTATGTAATGGCGCGAAATTTTTAATAATACGATTGGTCGACGTTTGAGAAGCTTGCCACTGATAGGCTAGCGATTGACCAATTATAACAAACTTGCCGCCATTGGTGGGAGGACTACCGCGACAGGTATCCGTGGTAGATGCGCGGCAAACAGCGTTGAGTAAAGACGTTTCTTTGGTTGTTTGTATCTTAAAGAATTTGTTGGCACGAATGACGCCGGTAAAATTATTACAATTCGATTCATCTATTTTTATAGTGGTATTAAACGGTGATGTGGTGTGAAATGTGTTGTTCGTATTAATCTTCAAGCTTCGTGAAATCTCTTTTGCTATAGGATCTTAGGCGCAGCATCGTAAACGTAAGTCATATATTCTTTTTCTTCTTTCTTTTTCCGTCTTTCGTTAAGGATCGTTTCTCATTTCCTAATTGTCATACGATGTAGGACTTCTCCATTCAATTGTCTTTCATGTAAACGATCTGTTACATTGTGGCAAAGGAAAGATTAAATTTGTTTCTATCTTTGGTTTTATTAGTTATCTTTAGGAAATTTGAATCAACATTGTACGATTTATGTGATTTTATGAGTTGAGAATAAAATATTGTATTCTATGAACTATTGTCTAATTATTTTATGACGCCTGCATTTTCGTTCAATGATTTTATGTATATTTTAATGTTCTGTTGTCTTCCGTTTTAATATTCGAGATAGTTTTAATTAAAATTAACATAAAAACGTACTGTGATGAATTTTTAAGCTAAATTTTATTATGATAAAGTATTATAACATACAATAATCTTGGATTATGAAGCTCAGTGATTAATTTGAACCATCAATATATGAAACAAAAATGATATTTTATTAAACCGGATTTAATCAAGTTTTATGTAGGCTAATTTATCTCAATAGCATTTACAAAAATTGCATATACATCTAGATGCAGGAAATACTCATGCTGTTTCTTTTACAATGAAAAAGATTGCTGCTATAGTTGAAATTTTAGACGACAATTTACTGTTTTATATTCGTTTTATAATGAGGTACAAGACTTTCTCTTGGAAATTTCTCTCTCTCTTCCTCTCTCTCTTGTCCCTTCTCCCTGTCTTCCCGTCTTTCCCTTGCCCACTATTCTTACTCTTTTTTTATCTATCATTTTACACTGTTTATTCTGGCGTTTGTCATACTTCTTTTTTTTAATAATACCATTTTTCATGGTATAACATGCATTATTATGATTTTGAGTAGGCTTTTCTCTGTTCCTTATTTAAATATAGTCTTAGTGATTTTTAACTTGTTTTTCTTGCGTTTTTAACTGTTATACTAATTCAGTGAAACAAATTAATTTGATAATAATAAAAAGGAAGGAAGGAAAATATATAATTAATCATTTAATGTATATACAAGATTTTATCAGCTTGGAAAAAATAATATGAAATCTACAGTAAATGTCTTTTTACACTGTTTTCCTTACTACCAAATATCACTTGGGTTTTTTCGAGCTGTTATGTAGAATATGTCAAAAATTGGTTAAAATTATATTCATTTTCGAAATATCACAAAAAGAAAACATATGCACAACATTATATATGAAATAAATGTATCTTTTTTTTACTATACAAACATTTCCTACTTAAAAAATATATACAGATTTTAGGGGAAAAAGTAATTGCGTTTTTACGAAAGTTTGCTACAATGAATCTTTAGTTGCATTGTATTTTTTAGGTTGTTGAACAGTTACTATTTAGTGTGACATGTGAAACTGTACGGCGCATGGCAATGTAATACAAAGATACAATTTATCATATAATTTGAGATTATGTGTATAATGTATGGCGATATAATATAAGGTTATCTAAGTGATGATAGAATGCCCGGCTGTATAACGCGATGCTATTTAATACAACGTTGTATAACTCGTGGCGATATAACGCGAGGCTATACAACTAGTTGCGATATAACACGAGGTTTTACAACTCGTAACGATGCAATATGAGGCTGTACAAGTTTTGGCGATATAACACGAGGCTTATACAACTCGTGGCGATATAATGTAAGGCTTACACAATTCCTGGCGATATAATGTGAGGTTGTATAACTTGTGGCGATAAAACGCGGGGCTTATACAACTTGTGGCGATATAACGCGAGGTTGTATAACTCGTGGTGATATAGCGCGAGGCTTATACAACCCGTGGCAATATAACGCGAGACTATTAAACGTAAAATAAATATTTAAATTTATTTCACATTTGTGTTTAAAGTGACTACATATACGTTTTGTTAAGAATTTCGGAGTAAAAATTATCACCTGTAGCAAACGATAACCAATTTCGAAATATACACAGAATCTAGGTTAAGTGTGATTTGACATCCCAATTTGATAACATGAAAATATTTGGGTGATGTTCAGTGTTCAAAATAACAGCATACATATTTCGTCAATATTTTGAATATACCTAATTTATATTAATTTACTAGTGACTATTAACAAGTATTCGATTTTTAATCAAAAAGTATTTATATCATTAGAATTAATGAAAGGTTTATATATTTTTATTAAACCTTAAAGTTTCACTCGATGTATCGTAAATGCTATTTTACGGTACCTTTATGTCATCGAACCGCGTTAGTCTCGTTTTAAAATTGACCATTTAATGTGCAACAGGCTGATACCCAAGTAGAGCATAAGTTTTTCAAATCCGTTTCAAATTTCTCCTAGCTCTATCAATAACCGATGACAAAAGAAAAATTGGTTGTGTGATGAACCGTGTTTCCATAACAACACACTGCATGCACTTTGTAGGACGTCAATGCCCTCGTTACGTTACGTGCTTAAGCCGGCTTGAATGAAAACGTTTTCCCTAGGGGTTGCTTCACCCCATCTTCAACAAATACCACTCACCTCTACGGGAGTAAATACTGTGAAGCATACTACAACGAACGACGTCGCCAGATTGAATACCGATAGATTTTGAGGTTTCAGTATTATACCAGTGATACGTTTTCATGTTATTATTACGAGAGCTCGTATCTACGACTACTCGAACATCGTTCGATTGAGATTCGAGTACCTGAATATGTCCGAGTACTCGGATGCTTACATAATTTAACTCCGAATACTCGACGAGCTTTTACTATCCGGCTGACTCTCCGAAACCGGTTCCAAAAAATACCAGCTCTCGCGGCAACTGCCCAGTTTCAGGCCCGAATTACTGCCATTTTTTTACCATTTTATTATTTCGCTATTGTAATATTTTATCCTTACTATAATTTCACTATTTTAAGGTAGTACTTGTCTCAATATTTTTATTTCTCTGTTGAGTTAATGTTATGAAATATTATGATAATATTTTATTAATCTACCAATCTTATTATACATGTATATTATTATTTTACTATTCCATTATAGTATTCTATTATTTCGTTAACTCTATTGTACCACTATACTTGTATTTTATTACTGTACTGTGTTACTAATTCAATTGTAATTATACCACACTACTATTTAATTCCACTATGCAACTACACATTTGAATACTCAAGTACTCAAATTCAAAAGTGAGTACTCAGATATTCAAATTCAAGTTCTTGTGGCGAATATTTAGTCTCACAAATGGATACTCAAGTATTTTGACTCAATTTCATATACTTGAGTATTTAGACCCAAAAAAGAATACTCAAGTACTCATATTCAAAATTGAGTACTCAAGTATTCAAATTCAAGTTCTTGTGGCGAATATTTAATCTCACAATTGGATACTCAAGTATTTTGTTTCGGATTCAGATGTTTGAGTTTTTAGACCCAAAAAAGAATACTCAAGTACTCATATTCAAAATTGAGTACTCAAGTATTCAAATTCAAGTTTTCGTGGCGAATGTTTAGTCTCACAATTGGATACTCAAGTATTTTTATTCGGTTTCAAATACTTAAGTATTTAAACTTGAAAAAGAATACTTAAGTACTCAAATTCAAAATGGAGTACTCAAGTAAGTTCAAAAGACCAAGTACTTGGTCATAACATCGAATATTAGAGCAAACACAAAGTCAAATATAGAAGTACTCGTATCCAGTTCTCGAATCCTAAGTTACAGCGAGTACTCTGAGTACTCAAATACTCAGTTGTCTATAATTATTGACGCAACGTATGCGTCAGCATCAGCAAAAGTGTTCATACTTTAATTACATGATGTGTGAAGTTCAAATTTTGATCTGAGTATCGTTTTAACGAGCGCGAAACAATTTTTACACATATTATCATTGATCCGCGAGTGAACGTGTGAGTCATCGCATTTTCCGTGAGAAATAACCCGTCGTCTCTGTAACAACGAGGGTCCAAACGATCGTAACAGGAGGGAGAGGAAATCAGCTGAGCGGCTCACGAAATAATCAGGAAGCTATTAGACCGAGTTACATCGCGGCCCCGTACGTGTCCATTTTAGTTCTTCTCTCTTGATGCCTAGTTTCCAACGCAACAGAATTCTCCAAAAATAATATAGTCTATGATTAAAATTTTGTTCGTTCCTTTCCGCACCGCTGTGGTAACCTCTGTAAGTCCAGACATAACTTCAACATCGAATCTACTGAAGCGATCAAATGACCGTTCTACGAGTTTTTTATTTTATGTTACAAAGTTAATGTGATTTATTTGAAATACGTGTTGGTCTTTGTGAAGTTAATGTGTGTATTTATTTATATTTCATTATTTGTTTATTTATTTTTAATTTTGAAGTAAGGTTTAGTGTCAACGTGAATTATGTGTCACGTGTTGAAACGCAGTATTTCACGTCTTTTATCTCGAATTTAGAGTAGGTGGGTCTTTAGAAGATTTCTGTAAGTTAAATGTTCGTCGCTGTGACCTGTGCAGTTCGGTCTCTGTAGATAATACAAAGTGGTCAGTAACTGATGAAACTATCGGAAATGAGGTGTACAAAAAAATAGGTCGATTATGTGTGATAAAATTTACTCGTAGAACGTTTCGTTTTAGAGACAAACGAAGTCGAAGTTTTTGTTAGTAATTTTGGTTGGAGTAAGAGAAACAATTTTAACTATTTAGTTATTTTTAGAATTTAGAAGATAATTTAACAACTATTTAGTTATTTTTAGAATTTAGAAGATCTGTAGATAATTACAGATTTTTAATAGATAGTATTTTTGTTTAAGCATTATTTTTTTGTCCTGTTTTCGTTATTTAAGTACATCTGTTTTAAACTATTAGAACAATTTTCAAGAATTAAAAAGTGTTATTTGCTACATTTTTTATAAATTGTTCTTTAAGGTAGAAAATAAAAAGTATTTTCTTAAATGTACATTTTTTAATCTTTATAATTTTAAATTTCTTCATTTTTTAATTTCAATAAATT